AACTCCAACTCCCTCCCAAAATATGAAACTGATTCAGAAGGGAACGAATTCAAGCAGATGGGGGCTGAGATTTTCGGATGGGTGGTTTTGTAATACCACCTTGGTTTCGTCTAATTCGTTGTCGATTTCTCATTGGCTAATCCTTTGTCTGTGACGTATCCTTTTGCCTGTCACCATCCCGCCTCTCTCTCTCTCTCAACCCTTCTTTTTCTCTTCTTTTTTTTCTTTCTCCCATTTATTTATTATTATTAGTTTTTTACTATGGTTGGGTGTGTGGTGATGTAAAACAGTTAAATTACTGACACAAATTACCCTTCGTTTTGGGTAACTTTATGAATCAGTTCCAGTACTCTCCACTGCCTCCCATATCTCACTTATACAATCATTAGGAAATATTAATTAAATTATCTCCCTTGTTTAAATTGGTTAATGTATTTTAGTAATTAAATTACAATTTAAAGCTTTAATAATATTACTTAACTTTATTAATGTGTATATATATAAAGTTAGTGCAGGAAATTTTGTCCAATGGGCCTTTTTTTTTTATTCTCTCTCTTCAATATTAGATAGAGATATTCTTTATAATATTAATATCAAATATTCCACATTATTTTCAAATTATTTTTTAATTACTATAAAACAAAAACAGCATGAATTCCCATTTTAAATATATATTTTTAATTTCCACTTGTCATATTTGTATCTTATATTGAAGTCCCGATAATTTTGAATATTTATGTATATTTAGTTGCCTTTTTCATTATTTTATATTTATTCCAATTTTCATTCTCATCAAAATAATAATAATTTATTCCAATGGACTATAATAACATTTCTCTAAAAAAAAAAAAAAAAAAACTTCTAAAGGGATAATTCTCGATATAATTATTTAAAAAATATTATAAAGCATACGAATAAAAACAATAATATTCAATAAATAAAAATATTATGTAATGTCGTTTGAGATCTGAGCATCCCTAATCTTCACTCGTCCCTATTTCACATATTGTTATGTAAATATAGATTCTACGTCCTGTTTAGGGTGGGTTAAACTTTTTCAGCAAGAAATACAAACTAAATTTATAAATGGACGGTACCATATGAGCTCTATCCTTAAAAACTACAAAAGCATCATCTATAATACTCGAGCCAACTTCGAATACAGAATCAACCGAGTTGCACTCTGAATCAAAACCCTAAAAAAGATGTCATGGAACTAAGAAACTACTAGACTTGATGCAATTGGTGCAAAAAATTACTCGGTGCATTCACATGTATGGGGAGTTATTTGGTGTCTAAAAGAGGCAACTTTCCTACAAAGGGGTTGTTTTTTTTCAAAGAGAAAATAGTGTTGAAATTGAAATTGCACATAATGGGGCAAAGGTGGCTTGTCTTCTCAACCCCACAATTGACCATTTTATTGCCCTAATTTGGATATCGAACCCATTATTTTCGCTCGAATATTTCACCAAACGTGGTGCTATCTCTTCCTCTTATACACACTTACCTCAAATCTACGTTACTCATTAAACACCATAAAATTTTGGTTACTATACTCAACCTGCAAAAAGTTCTCATCTTCTTATCTTAACTCTAGATATAACAATTATCGATTTATTTGAAGTATATTATTCGATATGTAATACACTTTTAATAATTGTTTTCAAATGTATTTTCTCATCCACGTTTTCCAAAACATTTCTTACAAACGTGACTTATGACTCGAACATACGTCGATATGTCCTCAAAATCTTTTTTTTTTTTTTTACTGGGTTAGAACAAGTGTGGTACAATCACTGTCTACGTTGCCGCAAGAATACGATTGTGATAAGTGACGATATTTCGAAATATGAATGTTGTATAACGATTTTATTTAATTTTAGTTTTAGATGTTAATTCTTTGCTTACTTCTCACCCTGACAAGACGTAGAGCGATTAGCTTCTTCCGAACAAATTCCTTTCTTATTCTTTTGGATTGAAACCCTTTTATATTCCACAAATCTTTTATTTATTATTTATTTTTTTTATTTTAAATCAATTAATTTAATAAATTAAGGTTTTGGGGTAAATATTTATTTAAGAAAAAAACAATACTTTTAGTGTTGGAGAAAAGGGTACGTAGCTTTCTCTCACCTCACTGGGCCTCAATTTTGGGCCCAATTTTATAGTATGGGCTGAAGCCTTATTTCTCTTTCACAAATATTTTGGTTTTAGTTCTTTTATAATGGGCCTAATTTTTTAATTACATATTTCTCAAACAAATTTAAAATTTTAAAAAGGGTCGGAAAAGGTTGGATCCTCTTATTTTGATTTCTCGGAATTGGGATCCTAATGCATATAGATACAAATGGTCCAATGGGAGCAAGAATTTCCAGGAACATTTCATTTCATTTCTGAGCAGAAGAGCCATTTTCATTTTCCAAGTAGTGTTCGCTCGATTACGTGTTGATCAATATTCGATTGGTTGGTCTGAGGTTATTCCAAAATAAAAGAAAAGTATAATGGTTTGAATGCATTTGGAACCTCGGATGGTACATTAAATTGATTTGATTGTCCTAAGTTTAGAAGTATATGATAATGTTATTTATGATATTGGGGTATCCTACAGCACATGAGAGAGAGAGAGAGAGAGAGTGCCCTTTCAACAAATTAAACTCTCTTCACTATTTGCACAGCCCATCAATCCTGTGCCACGTCAGCAGAGTCGGTTGGAAAGCAGGTTTATGGGCCGTGAATGGATGTCGGCCCAACATGTAGTAAGCCCATGTCCTGTGAACACTACGAATTGCATAATTAAATTAAAGTCGGATTCTGCGCGTGAATAATGACATACAAGAGACACATCACAGAGAGAAAACTGCACCAATTAAGTCGCTTTATATGAGTTGATGAGATAGTGAAAGGGACGTAGGGTCGGAATAAATTTGCGTAGTTGGGATTGTTTCCCTACCATTCCTTCTCCAATCTTTACTACGTCTATGTTTGCACATTTTTTTTACGATAAAAAATTTCACTCATTATTCTCTCTATAAACTTTGGTTTCAAATTCTCCGCTTCGAGAGTGACATCTGAAAGTGGAGTAGGCAGTGGACAATATCGATACATAGAGATGGAAGCAAAACCTTTCTAAATCCATCATTTTCATTTCTCTTCATTTCAAATCTTGGGTTTTAGTTCATCAATCTTTTCAATAATAACATCTAATAACTCGAATTTATTGAAAACTTCAAATTTAAAGATGGTGTTTACCTCTCTGTCATAAACAAATGATTCTGTTGGTTTAGAGACATTAATTAGATTCCTAACTGCAAAAAAACACATTGAATTATTAATTGAGGAAAAGAGAAAATAAATGGGGTTTAATGAACCATATGGGGATGGCCCACCAGTGGTTGGATAAAAGACAAAAGCTTTTTGTATTGGGAAAGGTGGCTGGCACTTGAGTTGGACACCATGAGCCTTTGTTTCTCTTATGGATATCTATTATCACACACCATACCCTAACTCTCCAACAACAAAATGCCTAAAAATTCAATCTTTCTCCATTTTTGATACTCATCTTTTCTCTATGCACATCTCACATTGTAACCAAACTTGGGTTGATCAACATTTTCTTATTTAAAAAAAAAAACGTTAGATTTTCCGTGGATGGCTGTAACTGTCTATGCTCACCTCCAGTAGATATCGTCCTTTTCCTTTTAGGCTTTCTCTCAAAGTTTTAAAACGCATCTGTTAAAGAGAGATTTTCACACCCTTATATAAGAATGTTTCCTCCCCCTCTCTAACTGATGTGAGACTTTCTTTCTTGAGGATCCAACGTCCTCGCTAACACATTGCCCAATACCTGATTCTGATATCATTTGTAACCGTAGAAGCTTACCGTTAACAAATATTGTCCGTTTAGACCCATTATGTATCATCGTCAGTCTCACGATTTTAGAGCGTGTCTAATGTAGAAAAGATCTCATCAAAATCATGAATGCAATCTAATCTCTTGGGGGAAAAGAAAAAAAATGGAAGCTTTAGATGAATCCACTAAAGGGGGAAACTTCCTGTTGGCCCTTTTTTCTAACCAAAGGATGTGACAAGTGACCCCCACAAGATGGGTTTGTCAAAGATGAGAGGAGGATGATAATTGATGGAGCCCATTTCCCCAATAACAAGAAGCTGCCAAGTGCCATTTGGATGTGAAACCATAGATGGAGATTCATTTGTGTTTGTTTTTAAAGTAGTGCCTGCTTTTCCTTTCACATCCATAAACACTAAAATTTCTTAACTTTCACACACAAAAAGAACCAAATAATGCAATTTGATTCATCAAAGCCCTTCGCTTCACAAAAGGGGGTGTTTTTTTGTATTCCATAATTCATTACCGGGTTTGGTTTTAATTAATGTCGATAATCACCTTTTTAATCACTCATCATTAGAACCAACGCTCTATCTCTCCACGATATTCCTTAAATTATTGGTTTGGTCAACTCTTCATTTTTCTTTTCAAAACCCTTTCTTTTGGTCTCTTTTTAATGAAGTATTAGCTTTTGAATCCGATGATGTGTTGCACATGACTTGTAAAATGAATGAATAGTTCTTCAATTTTTTTCCAAAAGGTTGTTAGATCACGTGTCTCCAATAATACTTTATTCCTATTCCAGCTACATTTTTTATCCCTTTAAAATCTACATTCTTCTTAGCTTCGAAACGAGTTTGACAGCATTCAAAAGAAAAATCGTCTATTATATAAGATTATTTATATTTGGAAACGACAACCCTATGGAGTAGAAAAATTGAAACTTTAGAAAAAGGAAAACATCAGCGTCAAAACTAAACACAATAAACTAACTACAAGACACATGTACTAAAATAATGTAGTATAGTGACAAACGTATAGTACAAATAATTAATTATTTATTGAAACGTTACCTATAAATTATTCTCTTTCACTATAGTATTTGTTCGGAGAGATGTGGCAACAACCTCACCATAAGTAAATTTTCACTGGTGAGGATGAAAAAAATGATCCAAAAGTTTAAAACTTTAAATTAACTAAATATTGGTTGGAGAATATGATACACAAAATTGCATAGTTTTGAGAGGATTAGAAGTAATCCTTTCATGGATTTTGGCAAGTTTCAAATGCACTTTTTGATATTTTCTTTTCCTTTTGTTGAACTTTATGTTGTGCAAATCCGATGTCAGTAGATTACCATTGATTTTGTACGCTCTTTAAAGCAGGTCTCATCCATTTGCAAACCCGCAGTTTTCTCTCTTCGTCTCTCCGATCATTGGGAGCAATTGAAGCTTCATTTATTCAGGTTATTTGCTTGTTTTTCAGGCTCCCATTTCAATCTCTTTACTGTAGTTGCTCTAGCTGAGCATTCTTGTTTGTCTCTTGAGCTCTTCCATTCACGTGAAATTCAGACATTCTTTTGTCGTCTTGTGCATTTCAGTTGTCTGTATTTGGATTCTCTGAGATGGGTTTCTCTTTTGAACCCAACTGATTGATTGTTTCAACCCGATGGTTGCTTCGGGAAGATAGTTTCTTGACTTTCTTTCTATTTATGCTTAGTGGGGTGGAGGGGTTAGCTTCTGGGGATTATGCGGATTGCTTTGATGATATCTCTTATTGTACCAAGGTTTTGTTTGTGAATCATGATTTGGAGCTGTTGGGGTTGAAGAAGTTTACAAGAACAAGGATAGTGATTTGGGTGTTGGGGTCAGGTGGGTTTGTTTTCAAACCTCGCAAGCTTTGATCTTGCTGTATAATGGAGTCATGGAACTATGGTTCTCAAGGGAAGGGATTCGTGTCTGATGAGATGAATTCATCCACTAATTCACCTCTGAGAAGTAAATATTCGTTGTTGGGTTGGGAATTCAAGAACCCATGTAGTTTTGTGGAGAATCAGAGCTTTGGGGAGCTGGAATTTCCCCAAATGGTTGGCAAGCAATTAGCTGATGAGTCTGTCAGCCATGGCCTGAATACCAAAATTGAAGAGGAGTCCACTTCTAAGCTCTCTGGCTCCATTGTAGACTCCAACAATCGGGATTCATCTCTTATTGATTTGAAGCTTGGCAGATTTATTGATCAAGGCGATGCTCATAGTTCCAAATACTCCAAGAGAGCTGCAATTTCATCTTCCACTGAATCATCAACTTCTCAGAAGAGAATGCGAAGTCAAGGAGTGAATTTCCAGGCTGCGTTTTGCCAAGTCTATGGCTGTAACAAGGATCTCACCTCCTCTAAAGAGTATCACAAGAGACATAAAGTTTGTGAGGTTCATTCAAAGACTGCCAAAGTTATTGTGAACGGCATAGAACAGAGATTTTGTCAGCAATGTAGCAGGTTGGTTATATTTTCCCTGATTACCCTGCTTGATTTGGGCACTATGATTAAGGACTTGGTTTTACCTGCAGGTTTCATTTGCTGGTTGAATTTGATGATGGTAAACGCAGCTGTCGTAAAAGGCTTGCAGGCCACAATGAACGCAGAAGAAAGCCTCAAGTCAGTTTTCACTCGGGAAGGGCACAGAGATTGCTTCAGCCATATAATGGTATTATTTCTCTATGTTCATTGTAGATTAAAAGTATATGAAGAATTATGAACTATGAACTTTTTGAGAGTTGATCCCTTCCTTTTAGCCTTTCTTGTTAATCATTTCTGAAGAACCTTCTAATGATTTTTCCCCTGGGTTGAAGAAATTTTGATGGTTATTTGTTTATTACTTCATTTGGATCATCCAAGCCAACAACCACATTTAAAGAAGTGAAAGTAAAGTGTTACAGCTGTTTATTTAAACTTTGTTGGAGTGTTGTTTGGTACTTGGCAGATGAATTTTGCCTTTTATGTTGCCATGAAAGTGAACGTAATGTCATCTGATACTAGCACCTAGCAACATAATAGGACTTTATCCGTATCAATCTCATACCTTACTGGGTTTGATAAGATCAAACTCAGAAAAAAGATGAGCGAAGTCTTCAAAATTCTTTTCTTGGAAACATGCATCCATTTGGTGTAAATAGTTGTGAAATCCCACGTTGGTTGGAGTGGGGAACGAAACATTTCTTATAAGAATGTGAAAACCTCTCCCAAGTAGATGCATTTTAAAACTATGGGCAATACGTAACGGGCCAAAGCAAACATATCTTTTAGCGGTGGGCTTGGGTTGTTGCAAATTGTATCAGAGCCAGACATCGGGCGGTATGCTAGCGAGGACGCTAGGCCCCTGGGGGGGGGGGTGGATTGTGAGATCCCATATCGGTTGGAGAGGGGAACAAAGTATTCCTTATAAGGGTGTGGAAGCCTCTTCCTAGCAATGCGTTTTAAAATCGTGAGGCTGACAGCGATACGTAACGGGCCAAAACGGATAATGTCTACTAGCAGTGGGTTTGGGCTGTTACAAATGGTATTAGAGACAGACACTAGGCGGTGTGCTAGCTATTGTGAGATCCCATATTGGTTGGAGAGGAGAACGAAACATTCCTTTTAAGGGTGTGGAATCTCTCCTTAGCAGACGCGTTTTAAAATCGTGAGGCTGACAGTGATACGTAACAGGCCAAAGGAGACAATATTTGCAAGCGGTGGGTTTGAGCGGTTACAAATGGTACTAGAGCCAGACACCGGGCGGTGTGCCAGTAAGGACATTGGCTCCCAAGGGGGGTGGATTGTGAGATCCCACATCGGTTGGAGTGGGGAACGAAACATTCCTTAGTGTGGAAATCTCTCCTTAGAAGACGCGTTTTAAAACCATGAGGTTGACGACAATACGTAACAAGCCAAAACAGACAATATCCGTTAGCAGTGGGCTTGGACTGTTACAGTAACGATGGGACAATATCTTAAATCTTTCCAGTAACATGACACTAGAGGTTCGAAGTCAAAGATTCCTGACAACCATCCATCCTGAACATGTGCTGCTTGATTGCCTAGCTGTTTTAATGTCTTCAATATCTAGTTAACGTGTTTCATCTATTTGTTTGGGGTAATCTATGTGTATGTTTGAATCTGATTATGCTGTTTTCAGCATCTTTTAAAATCTTCATTGATTCACTATATTTGTTAATATTGGCACCTCCTTGTTAATATTCACAGTACTGGTTGAAAATTTCAGGTATTGGGGACAGCAGATTTCAGGAGAAAACTCCGACAGCAACTTCATTTATCTGCAAAGATATATTGTCTAGTGGTCTTTATTATCCAGAGAAGCTTGGAGACAATGATTGGTGTAAGCGTGTTCTAGTTGAGGGCAAGAATGACTATAATCCTATATCTGCAACTTCATTGAGCAACAGGCATTTGAATGTGAAATCTCCATTGCTTCCCTATGATTTTGAAGTACAGATTCCTCCTTTTCAAGAACATGGAACTAGTACAGCTCCTTCAGTAAACAACATGTTATGCGACACAACTTGCCAGTATTCCCATAATGTGGGAGGTCCTCATATTGATACAACACATCCTTTGTTCCACCACACTACCTTATCAAGCGAAGACTTTGGAGTTTATGATGCAGCATCAACCATCCAAGGACTTTCTGGAATTCCAGACTCTGGTTGTGCTCTCTCTCTTCTGTCATCTCAATCACAAACTGCATCGAACCATCCATCTATAGTTCACATTCCTCGTGCTTTCGTTATGTCCGAGAGTCCATCGAATTACAGCATGAGCGAACTCTCCGAAAAGCTCATGGGAGTGAGCTCACAGGCTTCTTCGACTGGGATTTCGAGTAAGTTTGCCTCGGGGATGAGTGAAGCTCAAATGGGTCCGATATTGACGTGTGATCGTAATGATCGTACTGTCGCCTTTCAGATTCCTGATGGGGTTCTTCATAGATCGGGTTTGGTGAATTCCAAGGCTAATCTTTCGTATGAACACACTCCAACTATCGACTTACTACAACTTTCATCACAACTCCATCGAGTTGAACATCAAAGGCACTCCATGCAGGTACATAAATAAGAACATTATACTGACAGAATCAATGAGATCAATAAAGTAAGAGCTCAAATTAAAAGTAATCTAGAAAGTACTTGCTTTTCATGTTCTTAGCCAGACAAGAAAAGCGGTTGCATCACTGTTAGTGGGAGAATGCTACAACATGTTCTATTTCTGGTATCATTATACATTATATAAAAGATTTTTTAATAGTTTCGACTGAAACCGAACACGTCTTCTGATACAGGACTCGGCCTAGGAGACTTCGTGAAGGCTGTTGTGAAGTTGAAACTTGAACCTATTGGACCTATGTCAATGATACATTTTGTTAGCCAAGGAGAGAATAAATTGTTGTATAATTTTCCTATCTAGTACACCTCTAACCTTGTCTTCTTTCTTGATTCTGCTGCTGTTCCTATAATACCAATGCTTTTATTTTGAGACTAACTCGTCGAATCCCGAAAAAATTTCGTTGTAAAATATAGTTCATATGGTTATTGTAGTCCTAAGAGACCTGCCCTTTGATTAAGATGCTACACTTATGCTTAACGTCCTCATTGCATATGCCTACAGTAGAGGTTCTTGTCCCGAGAACTGCTTCCATTGCTTTCATCCAATTCCATTTGGGAAAGATTCAATATTTTTGTCAAAAAGGCATCAATTTTCAAGATTTGGTTGAAGTTTTTAAGGTAGATCAGTTCATTTTAACAACCAGGACTGGGATTTAGATGTAAATCATTAGTAATTTGTTTCAAAAACCGAATATGAAAGTTGGAGTTTACTCGAGATGAGAACGCAACAATCCCAGACCGAATAGATAGATACTGCTCATCAAATTATAGAAACCATATGAAAAAAATCTTCTTTAACTGTGGCTAAGATCACTGATAAGTGAATCATAATACCACATTCTCTACCAATACTCTTAGCTTCCAAACAGATTCTAAGCCGGTACCATTGGAAGGTAGCTAACATCAGTAAAAATGTTTCGAGAAGTATCGATAATCTGAATCGGATACATCTACTTCTAGGCACCATTAGGCAGATTGGTTGGCAGCTTTACTGCCTGATGGGTTCAGCTCATCCCATGCTTCAATCCAAGTGACCATGGCATCTGCAAGCTTGTCGAAGTATTCGTCGATGCCACCGAGTTTTGCTTTAACTTGCTTGGAGAGTTCGATGTAGCATTCCTGCACTGTGGTGCATTCTGCTGGAAGTTTAACAGCTTGGAAAAATGGTATTAGTTCTTCTTGCCAATAGATTCCCTTGTATTCTTTCTTCAGGTTCACAAATGGGTTGCTTGCTTTGCTATGCCAAATGTAGGGCAATCCCGTCTTCACTCCGAACCCTAGATGGTCGCATATAACCTAGTACACAAGATTCAAATACGATCAGCTTCGATCGAGGTATTGCAGAATGAATCATCTGGTCATGGAATGACAATGTACCTTCATGCACCAGCCAGCCCACATATCGTCGTAGCGTCCAATTGGCTGACCATCACCCATGAGACCGAAATACATCGCTGGACCGATCAGCTCACGGTCAAATGCCAGATTCATACCACACATGGGGAAGAGGGTTGACTTTGGAATAGTCAAGACTGCATCTACATATCTATGGTATAGCTAATCAATCAGCTTATGATAATTGACCAGCCAAGAAAATGCTAAAATGTAGTGTAAATCTAGAAGTTTATACCTTGTATTTCTCTCGAGAGGCTTCACGAGCTGGGTGGGTGCGTCATAATCCGGGATGTTGAGCCACAGGCCATGAGACACTGCGGTTGGGACACCTTCCCGGAGACTAAACGGATAACCACGGACAAAGTCAGCACCCTCACGGTATGGGTCGTACAAGGTATTGAAGAAGTGCGGCGTAGCTGGGGTCAGAAGGTTCTTGATGTGCTGCTCAAGTGCATTGATGTTCTTGCCTGATGGGTCCTTTGCAACCTGCAAGATCAAAACCAAGAACAATCCTCAGATCCAAATGGAACGATCTCATCATTCACACCCACATAGAATTAAGAAATCTACATGGATCCACAAAGTTGGACCTTGTAGATCATGGATCAGAAAGCTGAACTAACAGAATCTTAGCTCAAGCCATCTGAGTTCACTTGCTTGACTTAATTATGCAGCAAATCCATGAGTTTGGTCAACTACATTAAGAAATCTAAATTGATTTGTGATCTTGGGTGAGCTTCCCGGCAGATCTATAACTAAGCAGAGAGTTCATAAATCCAATAATCTAAAACTCAACAATATCACTAAAACAGGGGAAGGCAAGGCCAAGATTACCAGAACTAGCTATCAAAAACACCTCAAAATCGACTATTCAAATCTCAAAACAGATAAGATCCAAAATCCAGAACAGGGAAAGGGAGGAGAGAGGAAACTCACGAAACAGTCATCATCAATGGTATAGATATACTTCTTCTTGGAGACCATGTAGCCAAAGCAGCGGCAGGCAGAATCCTTGAAGGAAATGCAAGAGGCCTTAGGACCCAGAATCCGATTGATGTCGTTGCGATTGTAGAGCTCGTAATCGAAACCCTCGGGGACGTTAATGACCTTAGAGGGGTCACCGTCCTGAACAATGATGAGATGGTAAGGCTGGAAAAAGGGCCTCCACATCTCCAGAAAATCCAGGTTTCGGATGGTGGGTATCACTATATCCAGCTCTTCTTTCAGCAGGGGCACCGGAGAAACTTTCGAATCCGCCATTTTCAAGTCGAGAGAGATGAAATCAAATTGTGGGTTTTGAAGTTCGAGCTTGAAATGCAATGAGATTTGGAGAAGGGTTTATATAGTTGAACAGAAGACGTCCAAAACACACTGAATTACAGAGATGAGAGACTCCAAGTTGTAGAATATTCCGCCCTCCACTATTCAAGTGATCGCATCTTCCTTTCCCATCCGTTTTCTATACGTTACAACCCTAATCTCATTCAAAGTTTCAAGCTTTAAATTTAGTTCGCTCAATCCATTAAAAAATATATATTTTTTTTTATAAAAAAAAGTTCTTAACTTTTGAACTTAAAAAAAATATATTATCCTTTAAAACTTATTGATTATATGCCAATCATGTTCTTAATTGTTTTAGTTTAATGTTCTTAAAATAAGTATTGAAAACAATTTAATGTTTCAAAAGTATATATTAAAATGAATAAAAATTGAAATTATAGGGATATAGGCAAATATTTTGTAAATTGGGATTCCAAATATTAAAACAATAATAAAGGAAATTTAGTTTGTTGGTGAAAATATATTACGACACGTGGCATAAAGCTAAAAGCCAGCGTGGATTACGGCATTAATTTTGGGGTACGAAGGTGACGTGTCAGGCAAAGTTTTGGTTGGTGGTGGGCGATCGTCCAGAATGGACTCCTTCAAAGCCGCCGGTGACGAAGTTATGAGGGCATCTGCCGTACGACGTGAAAATAGTCTTGACAGAGATAATAAATGCGACTTTAAGTTTTGAATATAGTAGTCGTACACGTGGCGCACGGACGTTGCGTGTATCTGACATTTCTGTCGTGTAATAAAACTCCCGAATCCTTAACGGCGTCGTTTTCTCGAGCATGAGCCTTTGACTGGCATTTAAATAGTATTAATTAAAAGTTCTGTGGTTTTTTTTTTTTTTTTTTTAATATTTCAATCCAAACAACTGATTTTTTTTATAAAAAAAATTAAAAAAGTAAAATGTTTGAAAATTCAAATATTTAAATGTAACAAGGTAAAAGGTTGAGAGGGAGTTCAAAATTTAAATCAAAGAAAAGAATAAAGTGAGAGTTTTTCCATTTTTAAGGAAAAGGAGGAGACCAAAAAAACGTCATATTGATGATTTGCCTACTCATAATTCAACCCCCCTTTCTTTACGAAATAACGTGACAAAAAAGGGGAGAAAAGTGTCCAAAATATAAAGAATATCAATCGATTGATATACTACACGTTATTGATATACCAAATTTAATGTTAGAGAATGGTTTGGAGTGAATCCTCCCTGAACTAATTTAGAGAATGATCATAGATTAGAAGACATTGGGGGAAAACCCAAAGCACTCAAAGTGGACATGTCCATTTTACCTGTTGGGACCCCCTCAGTTAGATAAATGGGGTTGGAGATGAGATTATATTTCCTGTCCCTGTTCTCGCCCAATAATTTATGAAAGATTGAATATTAAAAAATAAAATAAAACAGCAGATAATTTTCATAATTTAGTCTTGCAATAGATAACAATACACATCCGGCTTTTGAGCATTATGTGGTTGGATATAACACGGTCGTCTTCAATTTGATAATGACATAATGTGTTTTGTTATATAGCTTCTTCCAAATGGAGCTTATACAATTTTCTTCCTTCTATCTGAGAGCTATCAGCATTTGGCAATGGTTTGAAATGGTTCAACCATTTGATATCAATATACCTGAGCTTGTCTTGTAGCTTTGTTCTTTTGTCTTTTCGATTTTCAGACTAGTTAGATCGAGAACATATGTAACCACCTACGTCTACCGCTAGTAGATATTGTCCCCTTTGATCCGTTATATATCGCCATTGGTCCCATGGTTTAGAAACGTGTCAACTTCTATAAGGAATGCTTTGTTTCCATCTTCGATCAACGTGGGATCTCATAACGCGTGTTCTAACTAATTGAGTTATTCTCATTCCCAAACGAACTCTTTTAACCCGAGTACGCATTCCTTCTTTTGTAGCTCTGGGGAAGCTAATGCAGATTTAAGTGGAAAAGAATGGAGAGTGTTGGTTGACTTTCTCTTCCTTTCAGTTTGTGTTTCTTTGAAGAGTTCAGAACTGTCTGATACTTCTTATATGCAAGTCAGCAACGTAGCTGCTGAGAGCTGCAATATATAAGGCTTGGTTTTGAGGCTGTGGATCATCATATAATTCCTCCCAATTTCTTCTCTATGTGAATCAAGTCTCTTCCAAGTTAGGAAAATGAATTCAGACCAACACAAATTCCTGACTGTCGGTTTCTTTTTAGCTATGATTTCTGTGGCAGGTAACCAACAGTGTAATGGAACTCTGTTTTCCTCTGTTCCAACTTGTTTCGTGCTCATCTTTTCTTTGTTTTTCTAGGGGCATACGACTCGCTCGACCCGAATGGAAACATCGAAGTCAAATGGGATGTCATGTCCTGGACTGCAGATGGTTATGTGGTAAGTATCTAATTTCACACATATTATCCTCTTTGAACTTTTCCTTTCGAACTTTCCTCAAAGTTTTAAAGCGCGTATGCTAGATTAAGGGTTCCTTACCCTTGTAAAGAATGTTTTGTTATCCTCCCAATCAATCAACGTGGGATCTCACCATTCACCCTCTTTTGGAGCCACCATCCTTGCTGACATTTGTTCCTTTCTCCCATCAATGTGGGACTCCCTAATCCACCCCCTTTCGGAGTCCAGCATCTTTGCTGGCACACCGCCTCATTTCCACTCCCTTCGAAACTTTTGGTGTATGGTTTTGATATCATTTGTAACAGTTCAAGTTCACCATTAGCAGATATTGTTCTCTTTGAGTTTTTCCTTACGAGATTTCTCTCAAAGTTTTAAAACATATCTGCTAGAGAGAAATTTCAAACTGAAAATAATTTTGCAGGCGACTGTGACCATAACCAACTTTCAGATGTATCGACATATCAGGAGTCCTGGATGGAGCTTGGGATGGGTATGGGCAAAGAGAGAGGTCATCTGGTCCATGCAGGGAGCTGAAGCTGCTGATCAAGGAGATTGTTCCACATTTACAGAAACTATGCCACACAGCTGCAAACGAGACCCATTGGTGGTTGACTTGCTTCCTGATGCTCCTTATAACCAACAGGTGGCTAGGTGCTGCAAAGGTGGTGTCTTGACCTCTTGGGGTCAAGATCCTTCTTCTGCTGTCTCTGCCTTCCAATTGACTGTTGGTCACTCTGGTAATTCAAACAAAACAGTGAGACTTCCCAAGAATTTCACCTTCTATGGTCCGGGGCGAGGCTATACATGTAGCCACCCAAAGATTGCTCCCAACTCAGCTTTCTACTCATCTGATGGTCGTCGAAAAACTTACGCATCGAGTAAATATCCTAACTGCACCAAACTACACGAAGAGATATTCATACATAGAGAGAATTTGTGAGATCTCATATTTGTTGGGAGGAGAACGAAACATTGTTTATAAGAGTATAGAAACCTCCCTTAATAAACGCGTTCCAAAACAGTGAGGCTGATAGTCACACGTAGCAGACCAAAACGAACAATATCTACTAACGGTGGGGTTAACACTGTTTTCTTCCGTTTTGCAGTGACTTGGAATGTGACATGCACTTACACGCAGTTTCTTGCTTCTGAAACGCCAACCTGCTGTCTCTCCATGTCATCTTTCTATAACTCAAAAATCACTCCTTGTCAAGCGTGTGCTTGTGGCTGCCAAGACAGAACGGCATGTATTCTGTAAGCGTGAGGATCCTTTTGGTCTGTTTTCAAATTATCCTTGAATATCTAATCAGCAACGTGGAACATGCCACAGGAAGGAATCAGATCTTGATGAAAGCGTTACGGGGTTGAATGCTCTATTGCTGCAGTTCACGGCACATAACTGTCCCATTCAAGTCCACTGGCATGTCAAGGAAAACTACAAGGGGTATTGGCGGCTCAAGATAACCATCACCAATCTCAACTATCGACTTAACTATTCACAATGGACTCTGGTAGTGGAGCACCCAAATTTCAGCAACATAATGGAAGTTTATAGCTTTGTCTATAGGCCAATTGCCCCCTTCATCTCTAACAGTAAGTAACCAATCAGTAGTTGTAAGTATTTATAGATGTACATTTAAGTCGTGTGGCGGAAGATTCATGGAGACCCTCGTTAAAGAGATTTAAGTGTAACTGCGAAGAACTTCATCTAAGTGTTAACTTATTTTTGTTTCCTTTGGACACGCAGACGGTACAGCTCTGTTCTATGGCTTGAAATCTGTGAATGATGTGCTACTTGAAGCAGGGCCAAATGGAAACGTTCAGTCAGAGATGATTTTGCAGAAGGATTCAGCCTTTACGTTGGAACAAGGCTGGGCTTTCCCTAGAAAAGTGTACTTCGATGGAGATGAATGTGTGATGCCGCTGCCTGAATCCTTCCCCTTCCTACCCAACTTGGCTAATGCAAATCCAGTGCCATTGTCAGCGCTAGCTTGCATTTTGGTTGCCATCTTCGTTGCGCTGTTATCTTAGATCTGAAGCTCACCCCGCATGGGTAGAACACAATTATGTACCCAAGGAAATCAGAATGATGAAACATAACAAAGTAATGACTTTTAATTGAAGCAGTACGAGGAAATTAAATGACGAAAATGTCACTGTATGGCTCGGTTCATTTTCACCTAATGCTGAAATGAACCGTGATACACTGGTTCGATCAGATCGAACCGACGGATCCCATAAACCTAAATTCATTCTCAATCATCACTAATTGAGTTGTATTGGAATGAAATCAGAATTATGAAACATAACAAAGTAATTGAAGCAGTACGAGGAAATTAAATAACGAAAATGCCACGGTATGGCTCGGTTCATCTTCACCTAATGCTGAAATGAACCGAGATGCACTGGTTCGATCCGATCGAACCGACAGATCCCATAAACCTAAATTCATTCTCAACCATCACTAATTGAGTTGTATTGGAATGAAATCAGAATTATGAAACATATCAAAGTAATGACTTTTAATTGAAGCAGTACGAGGAAATTAAATAACGAAAATGCCACTGTATGGCTTGGTTCATCTTCACCTAATGCTGAAATGAACCGGTTCGATCCATCGAACCGACAGATCCCATAAACCTAAATTCATTGTATTGGAATGAATTTACGATCTTCTTATGAAAGAATCCCCCAAAACCCTTTCAATTTACGATCTTTTTAGTAAAGATTTCTCTTTCTTTTGTTTTGTTTTATATTATCTAAAGCCACGGCATACGATTGTGCCTATCGAGGAAACCAAGCACATATTGCTAGTGGGTCCCTGAAGAGTGAAGAATGCCAGTTAGGGTGGTGAGCTGAGAGAACTGTGGTGTTTGATACAAGATGGAAGGCAGCTTCGAACAGACCCTTCAAGATGGAAAGCTTTATAGACAAGTCAATTCTCTCATTGTTGCTCATCTTCGCGATCATAACCTCACCCAGGCAAGCTTTTCTCTTCAAGCTTTGATTGTTTAACATCTGGGTCACCTTATTTTAGACTTTGTTTATCGAGTTTGGTCTGTGTTTCGATTTTCTTAGAAATTGAAGTTTTCAAATGGGAGTAATTTTGTGTTCATACTTGAGGGAATAATATGATAATAAGTATATAACTATGTCGCGTAGGCTGCAAGTGCTGCTGCTTCAGCTTCAAGGACACCGCTGAATGTTGATGTTCCGCCTAATAAGCTTATGGAGCTCGTTGCAAAGGTCTGAATTTGCTTTGTAGAATCTTTTTGTTTTAAGTCTTTGTGAGTTTGGGTTGCTTAGTTGACGTTTCTGTATTAAGATGATACCAGGGTCTTGCGGTGGAGAAAGAGGAGATGTTAAGAGGGAGTCCTGCTTCTGCATTGTACGAATTTGGTTCATCGGTGCCCTCTACATTTGGGTCTACACAGCCTTCTCGTGCTTCTGCCATCGACTTTAGGTTGTAAAGCTTTTTCCATATTGGTTGTAGTATTGCAGTTTCATATGTAGGACTTGTGGAAAAGCAGAGGTAATCCAACAGCCTTCTTGTGTTTCTTCTTCTTTTTGTTTCCTCCATACAGCACTGTGCAGGATACAAAAGGTTCATCGAAGAATTTTCCAAAGCACGAGACTCGACATCTTTCAGAGCATAAGGTGATTAAACTTCACGCAATACTTTCCTTGTATAATGCCAAGACTAGTGTAGAGGAGGAATGGATTTTCATGGTCTGAAAGTTTTTACTTCTTGTGAGGTTTGGCATTGGAAAGACTCATTTTGAGAGAGAGTGTAACGACCCAACCCCACTGCTAGTAGATATTGTTCACTTTGGACTTTCCCTTTCGAGCGTCCTTGCTAGGAAGAGGTTTCCACACTCTTATAAAGAATGCTTCGTTCTCCTCCTTAGCTGATGTGGGGTCTCACAATCCACCCCCTTCGGGGATCAACGTCCTCGGTAGCACTCTTTCCCTCTTCCAATCAATGTTGGACCCCCTAATCCACCCCTCTTTAGGGTCTAGCGTCCTTGCTGACACATCGCCTTGTGTTCACCCCCTTTGGGGCTCATCCTCCTTGCTGGTACATCGCCCGGTGTCTGATTCTGATACCATTTGTAACGGCTCAAGCCCACTGCAACAGATATTGTCCTCTTTGGGCTTTTCCTTTCGGGCTTCTCTTCAAGGTTTTTAAAACACGTATGCTAGGAGAGGTTTTCACACCCTTTTAAAGAATGTTTCATTCTCCTCCCCAACCGACGTGGGATCTCAGAGATAGAGAGAGAGCCCTCTTTATAGGTTGCCACCCTTGTGCTTGTATTATATTTGTTGGTCAATAGCATTGCCTTATTTTGCTGGGTAGATCCTACTCATGATAACACGCAAATTGGATGTATATTGGGCTGGAGGAATAGATTTTCATTATTGTCATATTTGATTCATATGTTTATGCTTGGCTGAGTTTGATTATTGCATCTTCATGCTGGGCTGATGGCTTAAACTTGTCCAGAATGTTGCCAGATGTGCAAGGTTCAGCGCTGACGGGAGATTTGTTGCCACAGGAAGCGCAGATATGTCGATAAAGCTGTTTGAGGTATTGGTACTTTTTCTTCAAGTTATTTGATGGGATACTATAATCAACTCGAGATCTGACTAACAAGCCATTTTTGTTTATAAGGTGGCAAAGATCAAGCAGATGATGCTGCCAGATTCGAAAGATGGTCCTGTCCGACCTGTTATAAGGACGTTTTACGATCACATTCAAGTTAGTTCATCACATTCAGAAACACATCTGTGCTGTGTTGATAGTTTTTTGTTCTCCATTGATGACTGATTCCTCTAGTAATTAATTGCAGCCAATAAATGATTTGGATTTTCATCCTCAGAATACTGTTCTTATATCTGGTGCAAAAGATCAGACTATAAAGTATGGTTCTTTGTCGATCCATTTTTACCTGATATCCTTTGCACAAGATCAGTTGTATTAATTCATTTACGATTACCTAATGCTTTGTTTTCCAGGTTCTTTGACTTCTCCAAATTGACTGCTAAGAAAGCATTCAGAGTTATCCAGGTTTTGCTCGTGTCTTATTCTACATTTGGCTGCAGCTTTTACTTCTTTTACTTCAGAAACCATTGTCTTGAATTCTTCCTTTTACCTCTGTTTGTCATTAAGGATACCCATAACGTGCGTTCGATATCACTTCATCCTTCAGGAGATTATCTTTTAGCGGGTATCGTCTTCCTCCTTTCCATTATGTAGTTGTTATTTGTTGGTTGAAATGAAATTAAATTGCAGTATAAACTTGAGTTCTTAACCAAGCTTTCCGCCTATTTCATGACGTTTTTCTTTGCTAATTAAATGAACACATACATGTACCCCTCCATCACCTTTCTTTCCCTCTTCTTTTAAGAAAAGTCATACATTGCAATAGAGGGCTAGTTAAGCAAGCTATCCACCTACCAAAGTCATCTGCTCGGGTTTGGCTTTGTTTTTATAAATGACTACTAGTAGATATCGCCCTCTCTGGACTTTCCTTCTCGGCTTCCTCTTAAGGTTTTAGAACGCGTATGCTAGGGAGAGGTTTCCACACCTTTATAAAGAATGCTTCATTCTCGTCTCCAACCTATGTGGGATCTCACAATCCATCCCCTTGTGGGGCCTAACATCCTCACTGGCACACCGCTCGATGTCTAGCTCTTATAACATTTGTAACAGCCCAAGCTCACCACTAGTAGATATTGTCCTCTTTGGGCTTTCCCTTTCGGACTTCCCTTCAAGGTTTTAAAACACGTCTGTTAGGGAGAGGTTTTCACACCCTTATAAGGAATGCTTCGTTCTCCTCTCCAACCAATGTGGGATCTCACAATCTACCCCTCTTGGGGTCCAACGTCCTCGTTGGCACAGCGCCCAATGTCTGACTCTGATACCATTTGTAACAGCCCAAGTCCACCACTAGCAGATATTGTTCTCTTTGGGCTTTCCCTTTCAAGTTTCCCCTCAAGGTTTTAAAACGCATTAGCTAGGAAGAGGTTTCCACACACTAATAAGCAATGTTTCGTTCTCCTCTTCAACCAACGTGGGATCTCACAAGAGAGAGGATTGAATGAACTTGATCCTTTTCTTATTAAGTAAGTAATATGACAGAGTGCTTATTATGTAGAGATTAATTTCAACAAAACTAGCTAACTAACGCACTGATACTTAATTAAACACAACAAAGAATGGTTACAACAGAAGTAGTCCTACTGCTACTCTCTGTGCGAGTTTTGATCACCACTAGCTGATCTTTGGACCTAAAGTTAATGAAACAAAATAAGAAGAGACCTCGTTTTTACATTAGTCACTGACGTGGGTGAACACTTCAGGAACGGATCATCCGATTGCCCACCTGTATGATGTCAATACTTTTCAGTGCTTTCTTTCTGCAAATGTTCCAGAAATAGGAAATAGTGGAGCCATAAATCAGGTGCTATGAACTTCATTTTTCAAATTATCCACAATCCAAATCCTATGAGATGTTCATGGAGCTCTTACAGTTCATTCTTAATGATTATACAGGTCAGGTATTCAGCAACAGGCAGTATGTATGTCACTGCTTCAAAAGACGGTGCAGTTCGTTTATGGGATGGCGTTAGTGCGAAATGTCTTCGCTCCATTGTTAGTGCACACGGTACAGCAGAGGCAACCAGTGCAAAATTTACAAAGGATGAAAGGTAAGCTTGTTAGATCTCTTGAACAACTTTATCAAGCTAGCAATAATCATAATGGTTTCTCCAAGAACATGGAAGCTTTTGTTGAAATGTTACAGCAACCTTTCATTTAATCGATTGACTTCCATACTATCGGCCACAGCTCTTAAAAGAATATATTTGATCTTTTTATTGGTTACTCAATCGTCGATATCTCAGGTATGTTCTTTCTTGTGGAAAGGACTCGACTGTAAAGCTCTGGGACGTGGGGACGGGAAAACTGGTCAAACAATATGTTGGAGCTACTCATATGCAATTGAGGTGTCAGGTCTGGTTTCATTCCGAACTTGTTTTCACTTTGAAGAGTTACCCATATTACTGGAACTGAATCTGGATGTGTTTGAAAACCTTTTAGCTCCCTAATTTGGCCTATCGGTCAATAAGGGCCGTGAAAATAATAGTGTTTTAGAGGGTATGTGTAACTACCCAAACCCACCGTTAGCAGATATTGTTCTCTTTGAGTTTTTCCTTCCGGACATCCTCTCAATGTTTTTAAAACGTGTCTACTAGGGAGAGGTTTTCACACCCTTGTAAAAAATGTTTCGTTCTCCTTCCCAACCGATGTGGGATCTCACAATCCACCTCTCTTTTGGGGCCCAGCGTCCTCGTTAGCACTCGCTCCCTTCTCAAATCAATGTGGGACCCCCAATCCACCCCCCTTCGGGGTCCAGCATCCTTGCTAGTGCACTGCCTTGTGTCCACCCCCTTCAAGGTTCAGCCTCCTCGTCTGCACATTGCCCGGTGTGCGGCTTTGATACCATTTGTAACTACCCAAGCCCACCGCTAGCAAATATTGTCCTCATTGGATTTTCTCTTTCGGGCTTCCCCTCAAGCTTTTTAAAATATGTTTGCTAGGGAAAGGTTTCCACACCCTTATAAAGAATGTTTCTTTCTCCTCTCCAACTGATGTGGGATCTCACATTATGGGTTCAAACCATGATAGCCGCCTATTTGGATTTGAAATGTAATAAGGCTAAGCAATTGTCTTACACAAGTTAACCAGGACACTCACTACAGCTGATGAAAAGCATCTTTTATACTACACACTACCTTTCATAAATCAAGCTCAAACTTTTTAACCCCCGAACTTACCTAAAGCTTATTATAACAAAGAACCGAACTTACCTAAAGCTTATTATAACAAAGAGCTAAGTTTCTCTTAGGAAATATTCAAAGCTGTTTATAATTCCATCTGACAGTTTCGAAACTTTTTTCTCATTAGGCTGCGTTCAATGATAATGAGGAGTTTGTGCTATCAATAGACGAACCAAGCAACGAGGTCGATCCTGCTTCTTGTTTTCACTTCTCAGAGCTGTGACATTCGTGTCCTTTGCTACCCCATGTTTTGAATCTGAAATTGATAAGAGGTTTGAATGTTTGCAGATTGTTATCTGGGATGCTCTGACAGCAGAGCGAGTAGCAAGGTGGCCTTCGAACCACATCGGTCCACCCCGGTGGCTCGAGCACTCACCAACAGAATCAGCCTTCATTTCGTGCGGGACTGATAAATCAATACGCTTTTGGAAGGAAACTCTCTAGTGAGTGCATCTGGCTAGAAGATGAGAGCTGTTTCCTCAACCTGAAAATGTATGAGATGTAGCAATCTCTTGAGCCCTCTCCCACAATTCTTGAGAAGAGATGGGCTCTCACTCTCCATATAAAATGTGGGCCAAAGCCCAATAAATCAGTGGGCTTTGACAATTGAATGACCAAGGCCCAATTGTTTAAATTTGTACAACTCTCATGAAGGACCTCTTAGTTATTGCCAAACCTTGGTTTAAACTATAAAAGCAAGTTTCAAGGGATCCATTACATTAAAACATGTTCTTATTTGGCATCTTATTGTCGGTCAATAGCAAAAAATAATAATAATAATAATAATAATCATAAGAACATGTTTTGTCTGCATAGAACAATCAAGCTTATTAGAACAGAAACATAGGATGGAGGATTAAAATCTACCATCTTAGAGAAAACAAGGATGCTTTGATTACGAAACGATTCTCATATCGATGATTTTAGTTTATTTTTCATTTATTCTATCGAATTTGATATTGATCTTCAATTATATTTTAGTTATATCTCGTCACACTTTATTAAAAAGGTTCATTCCATTTGGAATAGATATAGTGTCACATTCGTCACACAAGTCCTAGTACGACTACCCCACTACATATTGGAATGGTCCAACAGATTTCATGCTCTTTCTACCATCCATCCATCTTCACTTTAATCGAAATGATTTCTTCCTATGGATTTACTTTCACTTTCCCTAATAAAAAGGAGAAACTTTTTCTTAAAAAAATGCAATAATGGGCCCATAATTCCATTAATTACTATAAAATAAAATCAGTGCGTATGGTTTCTCGATTAAACATTGAATAATTCGAGCTTAAGAAGAATCCACAAACATAACTTTACACGACAGATGTGAACTAAACATCCTATCAAAGTTTCAATCTTAGGTTATATGAATATTTATTCGTAAACTTTAGAGGAATATATTCGTTTCGATGGTCGATTATTATTAAATTTGTTTGGATCATGCATTTAACATAAATTTTATGCTCATAAACTATAAAAAAGAAATGGGTTAGTGTAAAGTTTAGAAATAATTTGTTTAGAATGGTTAATGGAATACAAAAATTAAAATGATGAAAGCTGAATAAAAATGTGACAATTCATCCACCAAAGAAAGGTTTCAGACCAAAAATGAAGCAAAAACATATATATAATATTAGAAACCATTACAGCTGTAACGTTACACATTACAAAATTTAATGTGGGATTGTCATATTTTAGGACAAACTTTCAAACATTAAACGATTATAAGCTGAAATGGAGACACCTTTTGCTGTATACATCATAAAAAATAAAAAAAATTAATTTGGTAATAGAATAAAATTTGTGGTTGGCAGCTAATCATTGGTCTTTGTGCTCATAATTATTGAGTACCATTTATGTTTTAAAATAAACCTGTCTCCATTATTGCTAGCACAGTTAAGAGCTTCCATCCTTGGCCCCTCCTCACTTTCATTTTAATTCTCTTTATCAATGACAATTTTTGTTGCTCAATTAACAACCCTAATTTTTTTGATTTTATAAACTTTTTAAAACTTCTATTCAGATGGTATCCGAAACAATGTGATGGTGTGAGATCCTAGATCGGTTGGAAAGAGGAACGAAGCTATAACGGGGTGGAAACCTCTTTCTACTAGACGTGACGTGTTTTAAAATCGAGATTGCAAAATGGGCAATATCTGCTAGCGGTGGGTTTGGACGGTTAAAAATGGCATTAGAGCAAAACACTAAGTGGTATGCCAACAAAGACGTTAGCCCCTAGGGGGTGAATTGTAAGATCCCACCTCGGTTGGAGAGGGGAACAAAGTATTCCTTATAAGGGTGTGAAAACCTCTCCCTAGTAGACGCGTTTTAAAACCGTGAGATTGACGGCGATAATAACAAGTCAAAGCGAACAATATCTAGTAGTCGTGGGCTTGGGCTATTGCTGACAATGACTTAGAACAAATACTGATCTAAATTTTTATAACTTTAGGTTTCATGCAATATATATATATGGTAGACAATTCGAGCATAGTACAGTAAATAGAAAGTTGATTACTACTTCAAATGTTGATAATTCGATCGCATAATCGATGAATTAAAAACAATAAAAAGCATGGGTACTTTTGAAATTTGAAAAGAATATTTAGAATGGATTTGATGAAGGTTTAAGATTTAGATAAGTATATTAAAAAGAAGAGTGGTTTGCACATTATGAATAAGAATCAGAGTCTCTCACACATCTCGATCATACTCAAAGTGATTATCACTATTGCCATGATTGATATGAATAATGGTGAAGATGATGACACTTATAAAAATTAGGTAAATGTACTATATGGCTATAAATTAAATTTTAAGTGGAACTCATAACACAAATCCAATCCCTAAAAAAAAGAAGAACAACAAAAGGAAAAATCCCCTTTGAAAGGTTCATCATGTTCATGTGTATGGGGGACCCCAACTTTTTCCAAAAAGCCATAAGTTCATTCAAAGAATGAAATCAATTCTCTTTGAAGCCGCCTATATATATATATATTTCTTTTGGTCATTTTAATATCGTACAAAGATTTAGATTTGATTACGAGAATAAGAATTGAGAGGCGTTAATAGAAGCACTTGTTACATATTAGGGTTAACAATTCTCACTAGGATAGATTCGAATATTGAATTCTCACTCGATGATAGCGACGTAAATCATTGTAAGTGCATTACCCTACTTGCATTAGAATCCCACTCATATCTTGTAACTGTTCAAGCTCACCGCTAGCAAATATTGTCTATTTTAGCTCGTTACGTATATTCGTCAGTCTCACGGTTTTAAAACGCGTATACCCTTTTAAGGAGTGGTTTGTTCTCTTCTCCAACCAATGTGAGATCTCACAATTCACTCCACTTGAGGACCTAACGTCCTCGCTGGCACACTGCTTAGTGTTTAGCTCTAATATCGCTCGTTGTGAGAAAACGAAACACTCCTTATAAGGGTGTGGAAACCTCTCTCTAGTAGACGTGTTATAAAACCTTGAGGCTGACGGCGATATGCAACGGGGCAAAACTAACAATATTTGCCAGCAGTAGGCTTGAGCACGATTAAAAAAAATACAAAATTCTAGCGAAAACCCATCGTTCTAGTTCTTATTCTACATTGTAGGATTAGAAAAACATAGAATTTACGAGGTGAGCTAGGTTCAAATTGGTTGGACGATATTTATTGGAGGGTGGGTTTAATAAAATAGTAAAGAAATGAGATATAATAAGGGAAATGGAAGGTTCAAAATATAGATGATTAAGAAACTTAAAAGAGCGTGACTAAGCCACATTCTTACTTTATTGCGCATGCAATATGAAATGAAGAATGGCCTTTTCCATGTAAATGTTTAATCCAAAATGGGAGGTTTGTGTGTAATTAAGAGTGGTGGATGAGAAGGATGATTGGTTCATATGCTTTCCCTTTGTAGCTGTGTGGCTTCCAGGCCATAGCTACCTAGGGTTTATAATGCTTCCAATTGATTGTCTACTTGAAACAAATCATATGAAACCATACAAATTCTTATTATTAAACTTGGTTTGTGGGGCTACTCCTCTTATTCTATCCTTCATTTTTCATTTTTTAAACCAAATTTAGTACTCAAAACCCAAACCTATATCCAATCTTCTAATCCAAATCATACAACATCATATATACTATTTTGCTTCCAACTTCAAACATTTTAATACTCCAACCGTATGCATATCATCCAGGTGTGTTGTTACTCTGTTTAGTTCAACAACATGTGACCCGATCTTTGTCGAGGTTAGACCATTTTTATGTTAGAAAATATTTGTCGATAAAAAGAGTTCGTCGGTAACACCGCTATGAGATATTGGACATCTACTTGGGCTTGTTACATATCGTCATGAGACTTTAAAACACGTCTACTAGGGAGAGGTTTCCACACTCTTATAAGAAATGTTTTGTTCCCTTCTCCAATTAATGTGGGATCTCACAATCCACATTCTCGTTGGCAAACCGCTTAATGCCTACCTTTGATACTATTTGTAACAGCCTAACTATGATCTTTTTGAAATTCGTCTTTTCTAGAGTTCATCTTGACGTTTGGATCAAACTTTATTCGAATTTCGACCCATTCATATTAAATCACAACTATACCTCACCTAAAATTTTAAGTGGATAAGTTAGGTAAAAATTTAAGTTTGGCATTCAATATATTCTTTATATAAATTTTGTTGAGTTGTTTAAAAATACCTAAAACTTTGGTGGATGATATGTTAATTAATTAATATACTTAGAATAAATCAATTAATTAATATAGTTTTTTATGCCATTGCAAATTACACATGGGAATAATTTATTCTTTTTTAATAAAATAAAAAAAAAAATTTGTGTTTGGCTAAAATCCCATTTGTCGTCAAATATAATTTTTTATGTAATACAAAATTAATTTTATAAATAGCTTTTCACTTGTAGGATATATTAAAGAATTAATTAAAATTACCTCTAATTAATTAAGTGCATTAACACTAAACCGGCATGGAAACATATCCAAATATTTATTTCAATTCCTCTTTTTATCCTCAAAATCTTACTTACCTTGTTTTATTTTAAATTAAATTATTTAATCTCCTTAACCTTATTCATTAACTCTATCTAAATTAATTTTTTTTCTTTGTTTTCAAATGAAAAGGATTAATATACGTTTAAAATAATTTTTTTAATTTTGTGATCAAAATATTACAAAAAATAATAATAATAATAATAAATCTTATATTTGTATATTTAAATTTAAATTTTGAAAATGTGGAATTGGAGGGAGGGAAGATGAAAACTTTGGTATGATGTAATATTTTATGTCATTTCATATAGAATTAAAACATGTGTAACACAATATATGATAAATTATATAATTTTAAAACAATATAATTATTAAAAACTTATAATATGAACCATGTTAATAAATTTATTAAATGAGTTGAAATCCAACAAATTACACTACCATTATTCTATAGGATTAAATACATATAAGATATTAAATTGAGATTCATTTCTAAATCTACCATTAAGCACATTTAAAAACACTAATAGAATTTTGTTTTTTTTTTTTTTTTTATATTTTAAAAACACTAAAGAATATTAGTTCAGCTTTAATCTTCTCAAAAGGGAATATTAACGTGGCATGTGTGTGTAAATAATTTCTAATATTATTATATTCATTTTGTCTTGGATTATTCATTTATAGTCAACTAATTTTAATGATTTTATATGTTAATAATAATTGGTATGAAATATATTGAAAAATCAAAAGTAAAGGCATCGGTGGATAATTATATTATTGTGGAGGTTCTACGAAAATAGACATAACATAAACACATGACTTTATAAAAGCTTTAGTCCACACTGTGGCGGATTTATGTTCGTGTTCGCGCACATAAAATTTAGAATCAGCCACTCACTCCACACACATACAATACCAAACCCAACCACAATAACTAAAAACAAACATTTAGTTTCCCTACTTAAAGGAAACAAAAAAAGAAAAGAAGAAAAAAAAAAAAAGCAAATACATTTAATTTTAAACATATATTATATAATAAACCCCCTTAGATACCCTTTCTTTTGCTCATCACGGCCGAGTCCCCAACCCTAAAACCTCGGAACAGCCCTACAGATTAAAGGCTGTTTCATCTCCAGCGACAGCTTCAAACACTCAGACAAGTCCACGCCATTTCCACACCCACCATCCACCTGAACCCATTTGAACCTCTGAACCAACTGAGCTAGCCAAAGCTCCACAGTGGCTAACCCCATGGCTTTCCCAGGGCACACCCGTCTTCCAGATCCAAACGGTGCTAACCGTAGGTCAGACCCCATTATAGCCACCTCCTCTTTAACGAACCTCTCTGGGTCATATGTTGTCGGGTCGGACCAGATATGTTCGTCGTGGGTTATGGCCCACATATTGACCATCGCCGTAGTACCGGCGGGAATGAAGTGACCGCCAACGTGGGTGTCGTAGATGGCGAGGCGGGCCCACGAGAGAAGTGGGCCAGGAGGGTGCATTCTTAGTGTCTCTTTAACGACTGCATGGAGATAAGGGAGATTTGGGAGGTCGGAATCGGAGACATTCCGGCCGGGTATAACAACGCGGTCGATTTCCGATTGGAGTTTGGCTTGGATGTCGGGATGAAGAACCATTCTGGCTAATATCCATTCTAGGAGAATCGCCACCGTGTCTGTTCCTCGGAAGATCATTTCCTGCGGCGTTTTTGAAAAGAAAATGGTGAAGAATATGAATTAGTAATAAAATAATAAGAATAATGAGACAACAACACATACCCATAACACAGCAATCATATCAGAGTCGGTGAGCTTGTTTTCCTTTTCCAAATCAAGCAATACATCAACGAAATCTCCAGATTTGGTGTCATCATGTTCATCATCATTATCATTATGAACAACACCCTTTCCTTTTCTATTCATTCTATGATCTTCTATGATTTTCCCAACAAAAACATTCACTTTCCCCACCAAAATTTTACACCTTTTTCTCACGCCTTGCAAATCCAGCCAACCCAAAACAGGGAAGTGATCACTCCAATTGAAACTCCCAAGCAAATCATACCCTTCACTCACCAATCCCTCAACCTCGGAATTACTCCCACCATCACCAAAAAACTCGTACCTTTTCCCAAACACACTCCCCATAACATTATTCAACGACCCAAAATGCAAGACTTTCCTCACTTCAATTTCCCCATTTTTTTCCATCAAACCCTTAATTTCCTCCACCATTTCAACCCCAATTCTCTGCCTTAATCCCCCAAAATTAGAAATCCTTTTGGGGCTAAACAAATGAGTGGCTGAGATTCTCCTGAGGTTCCTCCAATACTCCCCATATGGAGCGAACCCCATTGCTCTATGGAACAAAAGCTCGTAAGCTGACTCCTTAATGGGACGATCAGCAAACGCCGAGCTGTTTAAAAGCTCTTTGGCAGCGATGGGGTTGCTAGAGATCACAAAACGAGTGAACCCAACAGAGAATGACATCAAAGATTTGGCCTTTAAGGTATGAGCGAGGTTGGCAAGAACTCTATGAGTGAGAGAAGTAGTAAAGGTAGAAACTTGACCTAAAAAAGGAGTGCCACAAGGGCCAGGAATGATGGGTTTGTTTCTTGGCCTTGAAACCAGAGCCCAAGCTAGACCACCGGGGCTAAGGCAAAGGCCAAAAACAGCCACAAAGAGAAGGAAACAAAGAAAGAGATTGACATTATTTGCCATTGTTGAGGCAAACCCAGATGCGGGAACAAACAGAAATTCATGCTCTAAAGACATTGCTCACATAAAATTCAAAGGACAGAGCTAAAGAACTCAAGAGCCAACACAAAAAAAAAAAAAAAAACCTTAAAATGGATAGAGAGCGAGAGAGAGAGATGAAATAGAGGAGGGAGAGCGAGAGGTTGGTGAAGACGAAATGCGTGAGCTAACAGTATATATAGAGAGCTTGTGGGTATGAGGCAGTTGGAGGGAAAGAATATTGCTCTTAAAAAAATATATCATTTGGTCCATACTTTAGCCTTTAATTTCTTTTTATATTTTTTTTTAATTTATGCTTGAATTAGTTTTAAAAAATTAAAAAAAAAAAAACTTAAAAAAATTGCTAGTCTCCATAAGTGTGCCCATGAGGAAAGCATTGTTTTTGCACACAAAAAGCTAATGCCCTTTTTTTCTCACAGCCCTCCAATCATTTTCTCCATCTCCAACATATTTTCCTCTGTTTTCTCCTCTCATTTTTTTTCTTTTCAATGCCCTAATTATTCCACATTTGAATTGAAATTTATATCCCAAATCACGTTTATTTAAGCGAAACAAAGTTTGGAAATATCGAAATCAAATCAAATTAAGGAATTTCTTGTCTTCACCTCATTATTGATTTAATACAACACAACACATATTTGTTTAAAAATAAACAATTAAATTTATTTATATTTTCATATATCATTCTAAAACTTTAATTTCATTCACGTTTAAACCCAAACACAAATTTCCCATTCTCAACTGCTTCCTCAAAAACTGCTTCAAGACTTGGTCAAACTTTAGGTAATACAGAAAAAGGGATTTTCCAAATTAGTTTCTAAAAAGTATATTCAATTTAATAAAACAATTTATCTCAAATTTTGCTAAAAAAATATAAATAAAAAAAGTACTTATAAAAGCTGTTACTGTCTGGTTTGAAGCATAGGTTTCTTTGTGGGTATTAAGATGTTGGGTCTGTTTGGCAACAGGTAAAAATTAAGAATCCAATGTGTTTATGTTACAAAAAGGTGGGATTGTTTGGTTAATTAATCATTAACCATTAATTAATGCAATTAATTAGGAATTGGGTGTCGGTTAAATCATTGTTTATGTGCTCGAAATTTGAATTAACTAGACAATTGAATACTTGGATTACAATGGCTCTACGTCACCTAATTGGTGAGCAAAGACAACCTTTGGGCAATGTCTGGGAAATATCGACAGCTTATGGACAGACTTGTAAATTCTCAATTCAAAACTCCTCAATTCAAAACATTATAATAAATTTGGCTCCTAACTTGTATGGTATGATTTGATGACATGATCCTAACAGATTTTATATTGATCATTTCTTTTTTCAAGTATCGTAGCTGAATAGGTACCATCGTAGATGGTTCGGAAATCAAGGCTAGGGTTTAACCTACGTGATAATGTGAATGAGATTGAGAAACATTTATAGGGTAGGTTTGTTAATAATTATGTAAAAATTAATGATGAAAAGGGTTGTAACGTAGGCAACAACTAGTGGACAACATTGATTAAAGAAAATTACGTATAGTATTAATTTGATGAAGGCAAAAGATCTTTGACCAAGTCAACCTGTTGGAATCTTGGAGACATTTCAACGGGTTTTAAGTAAAAACAAAACCTAACTCTACAAACCCAAACATGATTTGCCTTTGACTTGGTCAATCAATCAATCACCTTAAAAGTTTTGTGAATTATTTGCTTTCTTTATATAAATTTCACCATATTATATATAACAATATCTTGTTATCTGCGTAATAGTAAAAGGTTGTGTTCGTTGTAGCAACTTCGACAATAAACTCGAGAGAAAGTAATTATAACGGCCCAAACTCACCACTAGTAGATAATGTCTTCCTTGGACAGGTTTTGTAAAAAATATTTTGTTCTCCTCTCCCACCGATGTGGGATCTCACAGTAACAAAAGTTTCTTTAATAATAAAGGTCATATTGGTTGTAGCAACTATGACAATCAAGTTATAGATGAAAGAAAGTAGCAAAAGTTATTTTAATAGTAAAGATCGTGTTCGTTGTAGCAAGTCTGACAATCGAGTTACAAGATGAGAGATGCTTTTTTGACGCACATAGAAACGCGTGCGTAAAAAGAAAAGCTTTACTTAAGATCAAGTAATGAATTATCTAAAGATCGAAGCTAAGATAGGTAGGTTTAAAGAGCGGGTAAATTGTAATAAAAGTTAAGTTTGAGACATAAAATATGGGTTTAGGAAACAGGAAATGAACAGTATTTGAAAAGGCAAAGGTTGTGTTGGGTTCTTAGGCTTCAACAGCTGAAAATGGTTGGGGTGTTGGAGACATGTTTTACAGCTTCCAAGGGAAAAAGATCATTACTCCTAATTCCATGCCTAATTACACTTTTAATTTAGTATTTAATTTAGTATTATTATATACGTTACATTAATATTGTTCCACTTTGACAAAATGATTTATTATGCACATTTTATTTTTCAGCCTAATGCAGGTATTAATTTGTGGAAATTCAATTTCTTTTAATTGGGCTAGCAAGGCCCATTCTTTCAAGTCTAATCGAATGAAGTCCAGTCCATGTGAATTAAGGCCCAACTTCTAAGGCCCAAACTTTTCGCTTAAGAAAAAAAGGGCCCAACTCCGTAATTTTACTTAAATTGCTACTTAAATTGGTAATTTTAATACCTTTATCAGTAACTAATTATTAAAATTAACCATGGCTAAGCTTTTTACTTATTTATTAAGAAGTCATTTTAAACTAGAGAACAATTGCTAATATAAACCTATTTTAACATATTATCGACTAAAATGTAAAAATTGAATTTTCACTCTTTTTTTTTTTTTTTTTTTTAAAACAAATTATTTTATTTCTTAAAGATTAGTCAGTAATCACATTACTTTTTATTTAAAAAAAAAAAAATTAGTCAAGAGTCATTTTTTAAGAGCACAAAATTAATGAAAAGAAAGTAGACTTAGTGACCATTAGTCATATTTTATTTTTTTTTTATTTTTATTATTTTTTTTTTAATATGACTTGCTCGGATTAACTAGTTAATGAGACAATAGCTTACCAAGGCGATGATTGACTAAAAAAACTTAAGAAAAACGAAAAGAGCTAAGGCTAAACTAAAGTGGGATCAACAATCACCCTATGTTTTAAGGCGCTAGAAGATGGAAGAGAGTTTCGAGAACAAAGCTCCTGAATTTCAAAGTTTATCCGAGATAATAAGAAGAGGCTAGGAAAGATTCGATTTCTTCCCACTAAAGCTAGCGTGATTAACTGTTCAACGAACCTAATATTCAACCGAGATTTGAAAAATCATCAATCTACAGTCATGTTGAAGAATAGGATCATAATTTTCATAAAACTTACTTTTTTTTTGGTGGATAGAGATCATATATAAAACTGAGTCTCAAGAACACAAACTTATAAATATTAGAATTGGGTTAATAAATGGAGGAGGCAGAAGGAGAAACATAGATTTCCAATATTTTATATGATTTTCTGATCGGACAAACGTGCCCAAACTGAGTACAAATTCACTGGAATTGCTAATATCGATCAACGTGATTCCCCTAATCATCGCAAGGAGAGGACAAGAACGACGATTGGCAGTCGCCTCGAAAACTTTTCCACAACTTTTTCAGCGTCACTTGGGCCCTTTAATATGTGCTCTTGGAGCAGAAGACTTCACCAAAACTTGACTTTGCGCGCACCCCTCGTCGCCCGGTTCTGATTTTCTGAAGTTTTACTCGCTTATTCAACAGTTTTGCAACCATGAGAGACATGGGAAGGCAGAGTATTCCGTTGATTGATCGTGGGGTAAGCCAGTTTTCATTTCCATGGATGAATAAATTGTTGATGCTGCTCATACTCCCAAATTATTTTTTTCACAGGCAGCGGGGAGGAGCCATGGCACATCTCAAGAACATCAGTTAACAGTCCTGGAACATGGGAATGCTGAACCGGTAATGTTTTCTGTTACATCATTCACTGAGCTAGTTGTTTCTTGTTTGTTTTCTGATGCTGACTATGCTTGTAAATTTCAGCCTGCAAATGTTGGGTTTGGCAGAGTACTTTCACTTGTAAGTGAGTAGGTGTTTTGTCATTTTGCTGTCAAAAGCTTTAAAGAGTTCAACATTTGAATCTTGTTGCAGGCAAAACCTGAAGTGGGGAGGTTGATAATTGCTACCATTGCTCTTCTGATTGCTTCCACCTCAACTATATTGATTGTATGCATTTTTTTAGTGTTCTTATGTATCTCTTCCCTAGTCCTGAACTTAGTTATGATTTTACTACTCTATAATACTCTTTGAAATGCTGATCCTGCAGCCGAAATTCGGTGGAAAGATTATAGACATTGTAACTGGAGATATCGACACACCCGAACAGAAAAGCAAAGCTTTAAAGGAAGTCACAAACACCATTGTATACATCACATCAATCGTCTTAGTCGGGTATGATAATTTAGACTATTGTAACAATTCTACCTCACCGCTAGTAGATATTGTCTGCTTTTCTTCTTGGATTTTCCCTCAAGGTTTTAAAATGCGTTTGCTTGAGAGAGGCTTCCACACTCTTAAAAGGAATGCTTCATTTCTCTCTCCAACCAATATGGGATCTCACAATCTACCTCCCTTGGTGGTCCAGCGTCCTTGTTGGCACACCGCTCGGTGTCTGATTCTGATACCATTTGTAACACCCTTAAACTCACTGCTATCAGATACTTGGGAGTCCAGAGTCCTTGCTGGCACACCCCTAACTCACTGCTAGTAAATATTGTTCTCTTTAGGTTTTTCCTTATGAGTTTCCCTTCAAGGTTTTAAAACGCATATGTTAGGGAGAGGTTTCCACACCCCTAGGAATGTTTCGTTCCCCTCTCTAACCAATGTAGGATCTCACAATCCACTCCCCTTGGGGGTCCAAGGGTCCAGCGTCCTCATGGGCACCCCGTTCAGTGTTTGGCTTTGATACCATTTGTTATAGCCCTAGCCCACCGCTAGCAGATATTTTTCTCTTTCCCTTCCGGGCTTCCCCTCAAGGTTTTAGAACATGACTGCTAGAAAGAGGTTTCCACACCCTTATATGGGATGCTTCGTTCCTCCTTCCTATTGTGGGATCTCACAATCTACCCCCTTGGGGTCCGGGGGGGTCCAGCGTCCTTGTTGGCTCACCACCCGGTATCTGGCTCTGATATCATTTGTAACAACCCTAGCCTACCGCTAGTAGATATTGTCCTCTCTGGACTTCCCCTCAAGGTTTTAAAACGCGTCTGCTAAGGAAATGTTTCTACCTCCTTTCTCCCCCAAACAGTCTGTGGATTGGGATCTGCTCTATGTGATCTGCCAATTAGACGTCTATTTTAAACGTATATCTGGGCAAATCAAATTATATTAGGTCCAATATGATGCATCTGCGAAATTTATGTCACTCACACATGAAAAATATGATTTCAGTTCGGTTTGCTCAGCTATTCGAGCTTGGTTATTTTATTCTGCTAGTGAAAGGGTTGTTGCTCGTTTAAGGAAGAATTTATTCACTCATCTTCTTAATCAGGTACCTCCCAATGAAAAAAGTGGAACAAAAAGCTAAAACTTTTAACTTATAATCATTATGTTTAGCACTTGGTTAATGAATTTTGTAGGAAATAGCCTTCTTTGACGTTACCCGAACAGGGGAGCTTCTTAGTAGGCTATCTGAGGATACCCAAATCATTAAGAATGCAGCAACTACCAATCTTTCAGAGGCTCTAAGAAGCCTATCAACTGCATTAATTGGGTTGACCTTCATGTTTTCAACTTCTTGGAAGTTAACATGTAAGAATTTGAACATTGAGGCAGTTAAAACACATCTTTTAAGGTTCCAATATGCTCATTGTTTTGTCTTCTCTATCATTTCTAGTATTGGCTTTGGTTGTTGTCCCTGTTGTTTCTGTTGCTGTTCGTGAATTTGGTCGCTATCTTCGTGAGCTGTCTCACAAGACTCAAGCAGCAGCAGCTGTCTGTGCTTCAATAGCTGAGGTATAAATTCACTGTCAGATTTTAAATTTACATTGTCATACTTAGATATACACATTATTAGTAAAAAAACATAGACATTGTTTTGGTTTTGTAGGAATGTTTTGGTGCCGTGCGCACTGTCAGATCTTTCGCTCAAGAATCCTATGAGATATCACGGTACTCTCAGAAAGTAGAGGAGACATTGCAACTTGGACTTAAACAAGCTGTGAGTTTAATGTGTATGCATCTATCTTTCTGCTGTCTCATAGCTCTTACTCCCGATCTTATCATGTAACAGAAAGTGATTGGATTGTTCTCTGGAGGTCTCTTTGCAACGACGACCTTATCTGTTATTATCGTCGTGATATATGGAGCTAATTTGGCAATCAAAGGGTTCATGAGTCCAGGAGCTCTGGCATCTTTCATCCTCTATAGTTTAACTGGTAAAATTTCTTTGTTTAATGGAGCTTCACTTTTTCATATTGCACAATAAAAATGATTGTGATCGACTCTCCGTTTGTAGTTGGAACCTCCATATATGGGTTGTCAGGATTGTACACTGTTGTCATGAAAGCTGCTGGAGCTAGTAGACGAGTTTTTCAGCTCCTTGATCGTGTATCAACAATGGCAAATTCAGGAAATAAGCTCCCTATTGGGTAATAACTCAATCAGCTTAGTTTATAAAGCTTTGGTGTTGATTGTGTTCTTGTTCTTAAGGTATAAAAGCAAAGGGTAAGTTGTGATGCTTGCTGTCTTTGTTCTTGCTTCTATAGTTCTTTTGAAGATGTGAAGAAATGGATTGAGGAAATCAGTAGGGAGTTGTCAGAGTTGGTTCTTTCATCTTGCTTTATCTTATTAGTTATTGAGATGAATAGGAGAAGAACTGTTAGTTTTGATTTTCAAAAGGAACAGAATGATAACACGCAGTGATTTAATGCAGTGATCAAGATGGAGAGGTCGAGTTGGACGATGTCTGGTTTGCATATCCGTCCCGCCCGAACCACACGGTGCTGAAGGTATTGCTATCTTAAATTCTAGTTATGTGGGAACAGGTTATGCAGTGTTATTGAGTTATAAAAACTTCCATGATACAGGGAATAACACTGAGATTGCAGCCTGGCACAAAAGTTGCTCTAGTTGGTCCGAGTGGTGGTGGAAAAGTAATTACTTTCTTTTGCTTAATGTTCTTTTAGTTAATGTTCTTTTAGTTAGTCAGTGCTGATGTGAGATCCCACGTCGATTGGAGAATTGGAGAAGGGAACGGAACATTCCTTATTAAGGGTGTGGAAATCTCTCCCTAGTAGACACGTTTTAAAACCGTGAGGCTGACGGTGATACGTAACGGGCCAAAGCAGACAATATCTACTAGCGGTAGGCTTGGGCTGTTACAAATAGTATCAAAGTTAGACATCGACGGTGTGCCAGCGAGGACGCTGGACTCCTAAATGGGGTGGATTGTGAGATCCCACATCGGTTGGCGAGGGGAACAAAACATTTCTTATAAGGGAGTGGAAACCTCTCCCTAATAGACTCGTTTTAAAACCGTGAGGCTAATGGTCATACGTAACAGGCCAAAGCAGACAATATCTTCTAGCGGTGGGCTTAGACTGTTACAATTGGTATCAGAGCCACACACCAGTAGTGTGCCATTGAAGACGCTAGATCCCCAAAGAGGGTGGATTGTGAGATCCCACATCGGTTGGAGAGGGGAACGAATAAGGGTGTGAAAACATCTCCCTAATAGACACGTTTTAAAACCGTGAGGCTGACGACGATAATGTAATGAGCCAAAGTAGGCAATATTTGCTAGCGGTGGCCTTGGGCTGCTTACTGCTTATTTCTTCTTTTCTGAGTCTATGACAAGGAGTGTGTGAGTTATTATGCGTTAAAGGTCTGCTAACATAGTGCGTGTTTCATTGTTTGCCACAGACCACCATAGCAAACCTGATTGAAAGGTTTTACGATCCTATTAAAGGACGGATTCTGATAAACGGCGTTCCTCTAGTAGAGATATCACATGAACATTTACACAAAAGGGCAAGAAGTTTACTTTTCTAACTTGATTGAAAGTTCAAGTTCCTGTTACAGATCTATCTATATGATCTTTTTTTCGAACTTTGACGGTCGGCTTGTCGGTTGCAGATCAGTACAGTGAGCCAGGAGCCTGTTCTTTTCAACTGCTCCATAGAGGAGAACATAGCCTATGGTTTAGATGGCAAAGTTGATAGCATTGACGTAGAAAATGCAGCTGTAAGATCTCATGTCCTTTTGCCTCTTGCAAACCTTTAAGGCCAAACCAACCTGCTGTTTTACTTAAACTTATGAAATGACAGAAAATGGCCAATGCACATGACTTCATATCAAACTTCCCTGAAAAGTACAAAACTCAAGTCGGAGAACGCGGGGTAAGGCTGTCGGGCGGTCAAAAGCAAAGAGTAGCTATAGCAAGAGCTCTACTTATGAACCCAAGAATTCTCCTGTTGGATGAAGCCACAAGTGCTCTAGATGCTGAAAGTGAACACCTAGTACAGGTCTGCTGCGAAAACTTCTTGTTGCACACTTATCATTGTGAATTCTGATCCATGGACACATTTTCAGGACGCAATGGATTCTTTGATGAGAGGCAGGACGGTGCTAGTCATTGCTCACAGGCTATCAACTGTGAAGACCGCAGACACTGTGGCTGTTGTTTGTGATGGTGAAATTGTTGAAAGTGGAAGGCATGAAGAGCTTCTTAGCAGGGATGGTGTCTACACTGCACTAGTCAAGAGACAACTGCAAGATACAAGAACAACCTAATGAAAAAGACCCTTTTCTTCCTTTCCTACCACTATACACAGAAATCGTCCTGAGTCCGATTTCCTTTAGAAATAAGATATTTCGATTCTATGTTTAATAGATGTTTGAAATTTCAAATTTTATGTATAATAGGTAATTTACTCGATCAATGATTTAAAAAAATTATAGATATTAACGTAAAATTGAAAGTTTATATCTATTAAACGTTGACCATTGAAACTACTCGCACTCTTTATTAAGATTCATCGAGAAAGGATTACAAGATGCTCGGTAGAAGATAGAAAAGTGGAGGGTATTTATAAAAGAGTTTATATAATTTATTCTTAAAATATTAAGTTTTTTTGGTAAAATATTTAAGTATGATTGCTAGCTTAGAGAATAGAGATCGCGGGTAGCCCAGCACTCAAAGTATAAACCTGTTTTCCAAACTCCCAGCCAGAGCTGTCTGTAGACCATAATCAAGGAAAACATGAACAAATTCTTTTCTCGCAAACTTGCATCAAGGCTTTCGAATTCCTATGGGAATTCTCACTATTGCAGGGATTGCGCTTCTTTTGCCACACAAGTGCGAACCAGTAACCAAAACTACTTCTATGGCTCCTTCATCACTCGCCCGGTTAAGGATCACTCGCGTTCATGGAGTTCACATCGAAGTTGTACCGAGAAAATTCATGGGTTTTTCTCAGGCCCGGTGGTCGGAAAGCGATTCATATTGAATCCTTCAAGCACCCTTTTCAAGGGGTCCATTAAGAGTCTAGTAGAAAGGTCTCTCTTTATGGGAAGCCCATTTTCGAAACTGAAATTTCAGTTGAAACCAGGTTTTGATCATCGATGGCCAGGCAGGTAATGCGTTTGCTCTGTTAGTAACTTCTTTTAATCGCTGAAGAATGTGAAGTCCTTTCATATACAAATGAATTCGTCGCTGAAGAATGTAAAGTCCTTGTTCTTCATTCAGCGCTGAATATCCTAGTGTCCATAATTTCATTTTCGATGGTGAATGCGAATTTTCCCAATTGCATTGTCCTGTTAAAGTTTGCAAACCATTATGCAATACAATATATTGAATGTTTGCATGAGCAATTGGGAAATCTGATTAGTTCAAGAACAATTGGTATGCTGATTACTACTTGCTGGCATGAGGAGAGTGCGGAACTTCCAACTTCGTCAAATAAGTTCAGGCACTCCAATTTTTAGATGCCCCCCGTAGCATAGAGACTATAACCTAGATTAGTGCTTGCTGTTTTGAAACTTCCTTCTTTGTTATTTTAGAATTAGCATTGTAATTATCATGGGTTACTTAAGTTATTGTATAACATATCAAAATAACTTATTAACCTTCTAGATTTGAATAGGCTTGGTGGGTCTTTTAGTATTGAATACAATAAAACAGGTTATAATCATTTGAACAAAGGGGAGGATACTTCCCGATAAACATTGTTGATTATTTGGGGAAGTCCTTATTTTTGTTTTCTTATTCACAGGAGGGCATGGTTTCAAAGGCTGACGACTAATGATGTAGTGTTGGGGTTGATTATAGCTAATGTTGCTGTTTTCCTCCTCTGGCGGATTGCTGATCCTATCTTTATGTCAAAAAACTTTACTGTGAGTCCTTGATTGTTGGCACGGATAGACATTATTTCTTCTCACTGATTTTGGTTAGGATCCATTTCTCTTGAATCGAGAGACTATTGATGTTCCATGGGAACTCTTAAGGGGCCATCCATGAGGGAATCAGGATCCATCGGAATCAGTAATGTCCAGAAATCTAGATTATGGGTAATTTCATGTCTAGGAATCAAGAATAATCGTGTTTGTTTGGCATGATATATTCGTGAAAATTTTGTAATTATGGCTGAAAATATTATTACCTATGTTGCTATAATAGTCCAAACTCACTACTAGCAGATATTGTTCTTTTTGGACTTTTCCTTTTAGGTTTCCTCTCAAGGTTTTAAAACGCGTTCACTAAGGAGAGGTTTCCACATCTTTATAAGGAATGCTTCGTTCCCCTCTTCAACCGAGATCCCACTCCTTGGGGCCCAATGTCTTTGCTGGCACACCGCCTAGTGTCGGGCTATGATACCATTTGTAATAGTCCAAGCCCACTGCTAGCAGATATTGTCCTCTTTAAGCTTTCTCTTCCAGGTTTCTCCTTAAGATTCTAAAATGTGTCCACTTGGGAGAGGTTTCCACACTCTTATAAGAAATGCTTTGTTTCCCTCTCCAACCGATGTGGGATCTCACCGTTGTCAATCCAAGGGCACCAATTACCATCCCAAAAGTGGATGGTTCGATCTCCCTCCCCGCAATTGTTGAGAGAAAAGAAAAAAAAAAAGATAACTAGGTCTGTTTTGTTAGAACTGTCCATATAATTGTAATAAAATATCAATTTGTTCTACTAATGCCTCTATAATTTGAAACTAAAGGATTTGGATTAATGATAGGATATCCATCTTCAAAACCCATTTCATCTCACTGATATCCAAATCACCCCTCCATTGGCATCTCAAACACCAAAGATGCTTAGTAAACCACATTTCTTGGAAGAGAAACATGGGATTCGACATATCCACCACATGGCCATTCAGGACTTTTCAAGATGAATGGCCCCTGAAAGTTGATAAACTAACATCATTAGTAGTTTTTATTTTCATTTTTTTAAAACATGGTTTGAGAAATATTTGTGGCAATGTTACGACATTAGATGCTGTTTTGGAAGTTTTAAATTTCAAAGCTTGGAACTTCAATTCAACTGTTATCTGTTGGCAACATTATATTTTCAATATTTCAATTTTCTGTACACAGATCTCTGTAGAAAATGTTAGAAGCGGACGCATACATACATTGATTACATCAGCCTTCAGTCACGTAGAAATTGGCCATATAGTATCCAACATGATTGGACTATACTTCTTTGGGATGAACGTATGGCTATCTTTCTTCGAACTTCTACTAGGTCCTGATTTTATTTGTTTTATTTTCTCTGTTTATATGTGGGTGGCTTGTATAACTTTTTCTTTTGTTATGATCTTTACCGCTTTCCTCTTTTTGGCTTAGATTCTGATCTTATAGTTATTTTTTTAACACATAATCTTGTTGGTATTTTCTCATTTTGAGGTAGCTATGGTAATATAATATATTTTAACAGCCAAATTCGACCACTATCTTAGAGTTATGCCTTGTGAATAAAAAGAATTTTGAAGAAACATAAATATTGATTAATGAACGTTATTGTGCCTTGTATGCTAATTTTAGAGTTGATATTGGATTTGGAGTAATATATTTCGATTCAAGTTGTTTTCGGGTGAGCTTGGTATGACTTTTGGATATAATGTGTTCAGCTTCAGTAAAAGTATTTTTCAAAATTTCCACATAGTGTGGTTAAATAGACAAAAGTAATTTAATAAGTTCTAAAAGTGCTCACCTAAAAATTGCGCATCCCATACTGTTAGTCTACTTATGAACTATAACCCAGTCTATTCTGTTGTCTCAAGAGTTTGTATGCTGCTTCTAAAGTTAGCTTTAATGTTTTGAATTCTGTCTTTCCCGTCAGAGTTAAAACTGACCTTTGTCATCCTTTTTAGCATTGATAGACCTTATATATTTTGCCTTTAACAGATCGGTCGAGTGTTTGGTCCTGAGTTTTTGTTGGGATTGTATCTGGCTGGAGCAATTGGTGGGTCAGCATTTTACTTGGCACATCATCTGTTTCAAGCATCATCCTCAAAGGTATGCAAATTTTGTCCCAAAAATTGTGTATGGGCTCAGTTCTTTCATTGAAATTTCTAGGACGCTTATCCTGCAAAATTGTTTGCTGGTTTTCTGCTTTCTACAGAGCCGGCCATTTTGGGGCAAGGATCCTGCACGAGCACAAGGATTGGTATGCTCTTGGAAATCCTTCTGGTTCTTTACTATTACTTTTTCAACTATAGAAGCTCTTCCTATTGTCTGTGTTTAACCTTATACATTGTACTGATCACCTTCAACGTCCGAACGTCGGGATACTTAGTAGAACTTGAATATGATTGGTAGTCGTTTGAATTGATCACTTAGGGTGCAAGTGGAGCTGTAAATGCTATCATGCTGCTTGATATATTCCTCTTCCCAAAGTCGACCCTCTATCTCGAATTCTTTATACCTGTTCCTGCCATCTTACTGGTAAGCTGAACTCTAACTGGTACAAAGATTCACAGTCCACTATGAAAAGTCCTGAAAGACTTCTTGTGGTTTCATTACAGGGCATTTTTCTCATTGGAAAAGACATGTTGAGGATACTAGAGGTATGATGCTTAATTGAGAATACCTAAACTTTCCATCGGCCTCCACCCTCAGTTCTTTTCTCTGTTGCATATGGCTGAACTCCTACTGTTAAAATCTGTTTGGTCTCTGCAGAATGACAGCCAAATTTCAGGATCTGCACACCTGGGGGGTGCTGCAGTTGCAGCCTTAGCCTGGGCCCGAGTTCGCCGGGGACGTTTCTGAATATCAAAAGAACTTCCGTACTCGCAATCCAGATTTGATGCAGCAATGCACATCATCATCTTCTTTCCCATTTCTCTCATTCTACACTATCTTCTTTTTAGTGTATAGAAGCTGAAAGAGTTTTCGGGGCTTAATTGGTTTAATACATTTATACTTCATTACATAGTTTGTTCATTAAACTTCTGATTGTTTATATATATGTCACGCTGCCTACCTGATGGCAATCCATTAAACTTCTGATAGACCCTGTTTGGAAACATTGAGAAGCTCATTCACGACTAGAATTAAATTTTGGCCTGGATAAGCCGAGGGTGGAGACCCATTGATTTGATGTCATTTTCTCAATTATGATGAACTTAAATTTGTTTAGTATTAATGATACAATTTGATGGGATGGTAATTGATATCTCCTAGAACTTATAATTTCAGAGGAACCAAAAAGTTGTTCCTTGTCTAATCTTTTATGAAAAGTATGATACTATTACGAAATATTACAAATGTCTTGAAACTTGTAACGTCATATTCTTATAATATATACTTCACAATTCGCTCGATTACTATTTTTGTTTCTTTTTCGTCTTGGAAAGAGTTAGATAACAAATTACTACTTTTATTTTTTTTCTCGTCTTGGAAAGAGTTAGTTGTGTATATAATTAACATAAAAACAGTAAATTTATGAGTTAAACTGTCAAGATTCCAGTGTTATAGGTTATGAAAGAGAGTGAGAAGCATGTAATTTATTTGATAATGGAAAAAAATCAGAGGAGAAGATTGAGGGTCAGTGAGCCGCCGATTCGCAAATGGGCTGCCCCCGTGAAGAACGACGGCGCTACATCCAACAAAAGAAGGGAAATTTTGAGCTGCCCTCTAACGATATTCAATGCTACGATCTTCTTTTTTATGTCCTGCCAATTATTGATTATTCCCTGTTCCTCTGCGTTCGATCCCATGTTCGATCTGTTAAGTCCCTTTGTCTTTCTCTCGGATTTACCCAATTTCCCTTTTTATTTTTTACTATTGGGTCAGGTTCTGATGGGAATTCGACTGGTTTTCTTTGTTTTGAGTTGGGTTTGACTTGTGCTGCTTGTTGCTCGTTTGTTCTTTACGGTGCAGATGTAGACTATCTTTCCCATAACTTTTGAGAATTATCTGAGTTTTGCTCGTTTAATTGTTACTGTTCTTGATTTTTCACTTCAATTTGTTTTGTTTGAGGTCAATAAGAGGGCGAATCTTCATGAAGCTTTGGAAATGAAGTTCCGCAAGTGTGTTCTTATGTAACCTCAAGATTAACCCATGTCGTGCTATTTGCTGATATAGTTTAGAGTCAGCTCCGTACTCTTATTGCCGTTCTTTTTCTGGTATATGTCTGATTATATGTATATATGGCTTTGTTCTGTAAGCTGCTGAGCTTTGAAATTATTGCTTTTAACGACCCTATGCTTGGTTTGAACTGAAGTTAGGAGGATTTAGGCTATGTCTCTTCATTGATAAACATGTATGATTTGGCATTGAAAGGAGATATTTTGATTTTGCTGACCATATGTTATATATACGTCAGATAGGAGACGATTCCCTCAAGGAAAAACTTACATTTTTGCATACAAGAGGATATAGTGTTGGATTTCTGCAAAATATCTGGAAAGATTGGTCATGGATGTTTCAGAATGTGACACAACCGAAGGCTTGGAGCATAAAATGAAAAAGAGAAAGCAAGAACAGTTTGATGATGCTCCTGTAGGAAACAATATGAGCAGTGTTCATTCTGGTTCTGAAGATGCATCTTCAATGGATAAAATCCTCTCTGAAAATGATTCTGCTTCTGCCATGTTCATTATATGCTCTAAGTTGGAATCTGAAACAGAAAAGATGTGTAATGTTCATGAAAAGAAGCAGGACGATGACCGAAAAATGTCCGAGGATATGGCGACAGAGCATGGAAATATAAATGGTTCTGGTAATCTTATATATAGTGTTGAAATGGAAGAGCCAAGTTCCATGGATACTTACAAAGTAGAGTCTGGAATCTCTGAAGATACAGGTGGTATGAGAAATCATGATGATCATGAAAACGTTGTCAATGTTACCGAAGAACTGAGCGAGGAGACGATAGATGCAAGGAAGGATTATCATTCTAGAGAACAATTCTCCGACATTGGTAATTATTTTCCATGTAAAGAGCAGGAAAATGAGAGGGATCACTCATTGAAAAGTTCCGTTGTAGAACAGATAAATGGGGGAGGCACTGTGGAGGAAGCTTCTGTTTTCGGTTCGGTTGGTGAGCATGATGATGAGACTTCAACAAGCAAGGAACTGATTACATCAACTCCTTGCTGCATACCTCCTGAACTGGATAATGCTGAAACTGTGAAGGAAGAAGTTGTATGTTTCTCAGGTTCTGGTGAGACGAGCAGTGGTATTGACGCTATCATCGAAGAGAAAACTCCGACACTAGTATTGGATACTTCAGAGAAAGGGGATTCTATTGGTTGTTCAAGGAAAAAGCTTCTTGTTCTCGATGTAAACGGACTGCTTGCAGATTTTATTTGTTATGTTCCATATGGATATAAGCCAGACCTTGTAATTGGACAAAAAGCAGGTGATAATCATCATCGACCATCACGTTCTTTCGTTTTCCATTTTCCTTGAATTGACTTGTATCTCTCTTCCAGTGTTCAAGAGGCCATTTTGTGACGATTTTATCAAGTTCTGTTTCGAAAGATTCGAGGTGGGCGTTTGGTCATCGAGAACTCGGTAATGTTCTATCGACAACGTAATATACCTTTACACTTAAACTTTTCCTGCATTGTTTGATTGTGAATTGTGAATCATCCACAATTCTGCAGGAGAAATGTGGACATGGCCATAGATTTTCTAATGGGAGACTTCAGACAAAAATTACTATTTTGCTGGGTAAGGCTACTTTCACATATAGTACAATATATTGTGACATACCCAAATATATATGTTTATGTTCCCTTGGGGAGAGGGTGATTTTTGTATACCTTTAAGTGGTTTTGTTGAAGTAAGAGATGCAAACAAGTATGGAAACTTCTCCCTAACAGACGTATTGTAAAACTTTGAGGGGAAGCCCAAAAAGGACAATATTTGCTAGCGGTGGGTTAGGGTTGTTACAAATGGTATCAGAGCCAGACTTCGAGCGGTGTGCCGCGAGGACATTGGGCCCTTAGAGGGCGGATTGTGAGATCTCACATCGGTTGGAGAGGGGAAAACATTTCCTACAAGAGTGTGGAAACCTCTTCCTAACAAACGCGTTTTAAAACCTTGAGAGGAAGCCCAGAAGGGAAAGCCCAAAGAGGATAATATCTACTAGTGGTGGGCTTGAGCTGTTACAAATGGTATCAGAGCCAGTCATTGGATGGTGTGCTAGTGAGGACGTTGGGCTTCCAAGGAGGGTGGATTGTGAGATCCCAAATTCGTAGGAGAGGGGAACGAAACATTTCTCATAAGGGTGTAGAAACCTCTTTCTAGCATACGCATTTTAAAATTTTGAGGGAAAGTCCATAAGGGAAAACCCAAAGAGGACAATATCTGCTAACGGTGGGCTTGGGCTGTTACAATATTCAGCTCAATGGTCAGCAATTTTTAAGTCTATAACTCCTGTATTAATTCATTTATATTTGGCATGAGATAATGCATTAGAACTGTTTCCTGAACTAGTAATTTATGTATCACAAATATTGATTAAGAGGGTCATGCAGGTTTTGGGAAAAGTTTGATCATTCAGTTCTCTAAACCATACACAGTTTTCAAACGTCAAGTCATTTCATATGAGTGTGCCATCATTCAAAAGTAATGTCTTCTGCTAAATCATGCTACCATGCCTTTTCTTTTTGGTCATCTGACACTGCTCGCTACAGGATCAGTCACAGTGTACCGACACCACGTTCTCAACCGTTGAGAACAAGCACAAGCCTTTAGTCTTGAAGCAAATCAAGAAGCTGTGGAAATACCTTAAGCCACGAGAGTTCAATGCATCAAACACCCTACTGTTGGATGATTCCCCACACAAGGCATTGTGCAATCCGGTAGATCTCTCATCTCTTCTTTCTTTCATATTTTAGTTCCTTGTTTCATTTTCTGAATGAGGTCGTTCCCCCTTCTTTGCACTCCAATCTAATGGCTATCTAACGGGCATTCTTCGTTTTTCGGGTGCTTGTTATTGTGTAGGCAAACACTGCAATTTTTCCTGTAACATATCGGTTTAGGGATACCGACGATACGTCGTTAGGTAACTAACTGCTTTTAAGCTATACAATATCATGATAGTGCCAAGTTTTTGTGCTTCATCCTTAGTTCATATCTTGACGTTGGTTTTATAGCAAGTCATCTTCTTCACAAATTTTAATTCAAATTGTTACTTCTAAGTGATCTTTCTTGTTCTTTTTACTCCTGCTGCACATCATTTCTTATGATTAATGGTTCACGTTAGGACCAGGGGGCGATCTTCGGGTTTATCTGGAAGGTTTATCAATGGCAGAAAATGTTCAAAAATACGTCGAGCGGAATCCTTTCGGTCAACGCCCCATTACAGAAAAGAACCCGTCTTGGAAGTTTTATAGGCGGATCATATATTTCGTTGAGCGCAGAAACGATCAGGAGGATACCAATTCCTTCATATGGAACTGAAAAAGGTACACTTGAGAGGCATTTTCAATCTTGTTGGCATATCCCTTTGTATGGATGGAAAAGGTTTTCCCCTCCTGATGTGAAGGGCTTTTGATGCATGAAACCATCTATTTCTAACCTTAGTTTCTCTTTGGTTAAAAAACATGAATGAGTGAATGAAAAGTCTTATGCTGGTAATTGATGAACTTTGTCATTTGCTTTAATATTACCGTTAACCGTTCATCGTCCATAAACATTTTAAATCTATCTTTGAAGTAGAAATCCTTTCGATTCTTTGAGTACTAAATGATTCGATCCTTATTGATATTTGAATGAATGTTGAACTGATTGGTTGTTTATTGATTATGATGTGGTGGGTATTAAAAAAAAATCCGTATACTCAATTATTTCAAAGAGCCTTTGCAGGCAAACAATGGTAGCAAAGTATATTCTAGTTTGATTCATCATGTGCAGCAAACGATGTTGGATTCATATGGCCTGGCAAACCAACTACAACATCCTCCTTGCCAACTCAAGCCTCTTCCCCAACCTCATTTTTTTTTTTTATTTGAACTAACTTAAATAATTTGTAAAATATTCTATCGTTGTTTCTTTCTTATGTTCGTCGATCACAAAAATATTGATTATTGGATTAATAATTTAACGATGACATCATAACTTATCACTTGATTTCATCTATCATTTTCCGTTTTTTTTCTTTAATATCGAATTATTAGGGTACTTTTAAGGTGGTACCATGCACTAAAGCCACCAAAATAATTTGGTCCATGTTCACTCAATTGCAAACAATACCCATATCATGAAGATGATGAAATTATTGATTGTATGTGTTTATAGGGCTGAAAATCCCACCATTTTGAGCTTCATAATTCTTCCACTCATTGAGGGGTTTGAAGATGATAAAATATTATTGGTTGAGGATTGAGATAGATAGAGCCTTGAAAAGGTCATGATATCAAAAACACACATATTCATGCAATGAGTAGCAAGCATTGCATATTGTTCCATGGAACATGGCTTAGAATGATATTGATTGCTGAGTTGGTGACGTCCTAATCTTTCCTACGCATCCCACATGCCATGCAAAATGCACATTTTTGATGCTCTCGATACAAATTTATATATCTTGGATACGTTTTCATTATCAATATTGTCATTTCGATCCATGCTTTTAGATATCAAACAAATAAGGTTACATAAAGTTTCTTAATCTATTGACGCATTATGGTTCGAGGTTTTATGATAATCATTTCTAATGTTTTGTCCATTTTATAAATATATAAATTTTATTTTATTTATTGTGTTATGTGAGAGATTCCATTTTTACTAGCGATCAAATAAAAAAAATGTGATGCATTTGCATTTATAATGTTATTTGAAAATTTTAAAAGTAATTAATAATATTAAAAAGGAATGTCTCCATTGGTTGGTCTTCTTAGATCGTTGACTTTTTATTTATTTATTATATGAGTATAAAAAGTCTTTTTATCATTTAAATTGAATGTATTATATATTGGGTTAGTTAGAATAAATCTTTTTTAACAATAATTAAACTACTCCTTGATTCTTAATTACTACCTAATTGATCTCATCATTATAATACAAATACAAATTAGGGTGTGATTAAATAAACAAGACCAAAAACAAAATAAGATTTCTACGTCAATGTTATATTCAAACTCTTCATTTTTTTTAAGCATACATTTATTTGATGCTCGTGATTTGAAAACAAGAGATCCAAGGTTAGCATGTTTGATGAGAAACGGAACACCAAGTCTAGCCCAAGGTCCCAAATTTATGATAAGCGCTAATGTTGAGCTTGAATTCATCTTGGTTAAGAATGAGATAGAAAATAGAATTGGAAAGGTATATATTATCATTCATATTGATATCTTTAAATAGGATACTAGAAGTACAAATGAGAAAAATATAAAATAATTAAATATTAAGAATAAAATAAAATATACTCTAAATCAAATCATAAATGAAAGAATATTAAGATATAATATTTAAGATATATTCTAAAGAATATATCTCAACAATCTCGTTTGAGTTCTAAATCAAATTATAAATGAAAGAATATTAAGTTATATTCAATAAATAATATATGAATGGAGTTTTTATTTTTCTTTCCCCCAATATCTGTATGGTAAGCAAAATTCCCCTGTTTCTCTGTATGGAAGAGAGAACTGACAAGCTCACATGCACATGTAGACAGCTCTTGACCCACTCCAATACCCATTCCCACATGGAATTTGTGAGATGGGGAGCTCAGGAACGTCTGACCCACATTCTCTCTCTTCCGCTTCTCTTATTTCTTTCCTCTAAAAAAAATCCCAAGAAGAAAGAGAACAACCTTTTCTCCTTGCAACCCTCAATTGGGTTGTGCTTACATTTGTTCTTGGAAGATTGTTTTTCACACCTGTTCATAAATCCTCTGTTTCTTCCCTCGCCATTCGTCGTTGACCTTAACTCATTGGCTCCCTCTCTTAGTGAATTCTTCTTCGTTGCTGCTACGAATCAAGATTTGGGAAATTCGTGAGGAACCCAGAAAGGAATTTTGGGATTTGGGTGGAAGTTTTTGTGGGATTGGGAATTTACATCGCGAGCTGAGCTGTAAATTGCACTGTTTCTGAAGCTGTGCATATAACCCGAGAAGGGATTTTATTTGAGTGGAGAATCTCTTTGTAGCATTTTATTTCAGGCTTTAAAAGTTCTTTATTCTTCTTCCCTTTTGGTCTTTGGACCATATACGGCTCAATCGAATATGGGGGAATGAGATTTGATTCCTTATGCAGAAAGGTGTATGTCTTTTTAGTGATAGAAGGGTTCTTTGAGATGGGTTTCTTTCTGGGTTGAAGAAGAACTGGTTAGAATATCCATTGCACTAGCCATTAGAGTGTTGAATAGCCTTAGATAAGAGAGGTTTTTTGTTTTTGTTTTTGTTTATTGATATATCGAACCTGAAGATGGCTGCGAAGCTTCTGCATTCTTTAGCTGATGAAAATCCAGATCTGCAGAAGCAATTAGGATGCATGACTGGGATTTTGCAGTTGTTTGATCGTCAGCATATACTGGATGGAAGACATATGAAGCACAAGCGCCTCCCTCCTGGTATTTCCCTATCTGAATCTGCTTTATTTTCTTAATAGTTTTGGATGTTTTGATCACTTTGATGCATCTTGTTAGAATTGAAGTGTGTGTTTCCTTTTGGCTCTCTCTGCTGTTTGTCTAATGTGTGATTGGTACTCTTCATACATATGTGTCTAATCCAATGATGATCCTTGGAGCTTATATTATTGAAATTCAAATAGATGTTCCATTGCGTAACTCCAAAAGATGCGTTTTAAAACCTTGAAGGGAAGCCCGAAAGGGAAAGTCCAAAGAGGACAACATCTGCTTGTGGTAGGCTTGGGTTGTTACGAATGGTATCAGACCCAAGCACTAGTCGGAGTAAGGCTAGACTCTCACCATAGTAGACGCGTTTTAAAAACCTTGAAGGGAAGCCTGAAAGAGAAAGTCCAAAAAGGACAATATCTACTAGCGGTAGGCTTGGACTGTTACACAGTCATTTAATCGGTTATTACTTATAAATCCTTTGGCAATCTTGTTTTCCTGTCGTTTTGAGGAGCATTTGGCTTGAGCTGAATAGTATAATCTTTTGAGGAGCGGAAAGGTCCAGTAAGAAGTTTCGAGAGGCGATTAGATTTAACTCGTCTTTGTAGGTGTTTGTGGTATGCAAACTGATAGCATGCCAATTTATTTGCAAATCTTGTCTACTGCAGGCACTTCTCATCTAGATATTGGTAGCACAGGAAAAGAGTACAATGTCTTACAGAGAGATGCTACGGTAAGTCTCCGAATGACTATTTGTTTAAGCGGATTAGTTTACGAACTTATAATTATGCTTAAGCGTTTAAGTTACGGTAATTGGAGTTTTCCTGGATCTTAATCTACGAAATCGTGTTCTTGCAGGTTATGTCCCTAAATGAGAGTTTCAATGAGAAACAAAGGTTTAATAAAGAATTATCAAGAGCTTCTTTCTCTTCTTGCTCATCTTCCTTATCCTCTAGTGAGTACAACAAAACAGCTCCATCGCAAGCTTCGTCATTCGATCAGATACTCTTATCAAGAACGCCCTCAAGGGATTCCGTAGCAAACCAGTCAAATACCTCTCCTCGTGTCGGGAAGCAACATCTTGATCTTCGAGATGTTGTGAAGGATTCTATGTATAGGGAAGCCAGAACGTTATCAGTCAAAACGCCTACTAATGAGGAACTACTGAGTCGTTCTATGAAGCATAGAGACTCTCCAAGGCCTTCACAGCTATCCCAATCTGCAGATGGGGCTTGTAAGGTTGATACAAATTGGAAACAAAAGATGCCTACTGATCTAAAGGAGTCTCTTCTAGTTCTTGCTAAGCTTCGAGATGCACCATGGTATTATAATGAAGCCATAGAGCACGAACGACCATTTCATGAAGTGAAAAATGGATCTTTGCCATCATTCTCGAGAGATGCTCCTCGGTTTTCTTGTGATGGGAGAGAGGTTGATAGATTGTCCTTTGAATCACGAGATACCATTCGATCAGCTCCAAAATTTAAAGACTTTCCAAGACTCTCATTGGACAGCAGGGAGAGTTCAATTCAGGATTCCAAATCTGTGTCAAACTCTATTAGACTTTCAAAGAACTTGCACAGTAGCGACCCTTCTGATCCTCCAAAACCGTCAGGATCTCGAAAGCATCCTCCTAGTGTCGTGGCTAAGTTAATGGGATTAGAAGCACTTCCAGGTTCACCTTTGGCTAGTGATACTCAAGTTAAAGGTGACCCTTTTGTTAGCTCATTGGATGGCACAAGCTCTATCAGGCCAATTAGAACTTGTGACTCTCCTCGGAACACATTGAAAGGCCCGACTTCACCACGATGGAAGAATCCTGATTTAGTCATGAAACCTATACCAAATTCGAAGTTTCCAGTAGAAGTTGCGCCGTGGAGGCAGCCAGATGGAGGTCGAGCCTCTCACAAACGTACTCTAAAGCATGCTAGAGGATTAGCTGCATCGTCTGATCACTTTCCTTCTGTTTATAGCGAAATCGAAAAAAGATTGGAAGACTTGGAGTTTAAACATTCAGGGAAAGATCTTAGAGCACTAAAACAGATCCTTGATGCTATGCAACCAAAGGGGCTTTTGGATACTAGAAATGAGGAGGAACCTTCTAACAGTGGAACTCAAAGAGACAACGAACCAAAACAGGATAGCGCTAGCGTTAATTCTAGGTTGATCAACGAACAAAGTCGGAAAAAGAACCAAAAGGCTGCAACAACTAGCAGGCCTGATTCTTCTAGGTGTAGGGAATCTCCTATTGTAATCATGAAACCAGCAAAACTTGTAGAAAAATCTGGAATTCCAGCTTCATCTGTTATTCGAATCGACGGTCTTCCTGGTTTCCCCAAGCTTGAGAAAGCTTCACATGGAAAAAGGAACACCAATGGTAGCCGAGCAATTAAAGATACGTCGCCTGAAACTAGTCACAAGGACTCCGGGGCGAGTTCCACCAAAAAGAAAGACGATGCAAAAAATGTAAGACCAACGCATTCTTCTTCAAAGCCTCAACAAAACACCATTAGTTCAATAAAAACCTCAGGGTCTGTGAGCCCAAGACTGCAACCGAAGAAGGTTGAGCAAGACAAACGATCTCGACCACCAACTCCTCCATCCGACACAAATAAAACTAGATGGAAATCCAACCGAAAAGGAACCGATTCAGGTTCTCCCGTTGGAAAACCGAGAGTGAAACCTTCCCATGTCTGCCAAATGGATGACCAATCGAGTGAAATAAGCAACGAGTCGAGAACTTTGAGTAACCAGGGTGATGACATATCTCAACTATCTGATAGTAATTTATCCTTGGACTCAAAGACAGATATTGAAGTCACCAGCAGTGAGCTTCCTTCTGACATAAATGGCAGCCATATTTTACAAATGAAGATTTCAAAGAACTCGGATTCTTGCTTAACGGAAAACGTTGGTGACTTTTTTCATTTTATTTTCCCTTCTACTACGTCTATTAGATTGTTTCAGAACTCAAATTTGAGATTTTCATTTTGTGACTTGCAGGCAGAACTTGCTACACCTGCTCCTGAACATCCTAGTCCGATCTCCATTCTTGATGCTTCTATATATAGAGACAACGAACCGTCCCCGTCTCCGTCTTCTGTTAAGCAGACAAAAACCCTCAAAGGTGATCAAATCTATCACCAAAAACAACAATCCTTTTTTGATGATCAATCATGATATGAAGCTTCAATTTAGTCCCTTCTAATACTGTTTGATGCATACATTTCAGGCAATAGGGAGTTGGGCTCTGGAAATTGTGGTGAATATCAATGGAGTGCCACAGATAACAGTGTGGAGCCTGGTCTTAGCACAGAAATCAACCGCAAGAAATTGCAAAACATTGACAACTTGGTTCAGAAGCTCAGGCGCCTGAACTCTCACTATGATGAAGCCAAAACAGATTACATTGCATCATTATGTGAGAATACTGACCCAGATAACAGATACATATCTGAAATATTGTTAGCTTCTGGCCTCTTACTTCGGGACCTTGGCTCGGGCTTGGCAACATTTCAACTCCATCCATCTGGTCATCCAATCAACCCCGAGTTGTTCTTCGTTTTGGAACAAACCAAGACAGGCAGTTTGCTAAGAAAAGATGACTGCAGCTCTCATAAAGTTACAGATTCAAAACTGAGCCAGGAAAAAGCTCACCGTAAACTCATTTTTGATGTTGTTAATGAGTTTCTTGCCAGGAAGTTGTCTGTTGTTGCTGCATCAACTGAGCCTTGGACAACATCCAGAAAACTAGCGACTAAAACTCTTAGTGCTCAAAAGCTTTTGAAGGAGCTATGTTCCGAAATAGAACAGCTTCAAACCAAGAAACCCGAATGCAACATCGAGGACGATGGTTTGAAAAACATCTTAAAGGAGGATGTGATGCAAAGATCTGAGAGTTGGACTGATTTCTATGGCGACATCTCCAACGTCGTCTTAGACGCTGAAAGATTGATCTTCAAAGATTTAGTCGACGAAATCGTGTATGTTGGGGCTGCTCATTTGCGCGCCAAGTCAGGCAGACGAAGACAGTTGTTTACCTGATTTATAGTTTCTTCTTTAGCTTTCATAGTGAGTGATGAAACTTCCATTTTTTCTATAATATATATCATTGTGACTGGGAATTAAGAAGTGTTGTAAAGATGGTTGCAAGCTTTCAAACCATGAACATTCTTGTTATGAATCAATATATGAAAAGATCTGAATGATTCTGAAAGTTGGTTCTGAAATGCTAAATTTATGTAGTCCCTAATCTTAGGATATTTTCCCAATTTATTTCCTATTGTTTAATAGTTTTAAATTTTGAATAAATACTTAGAAATGAAGGATAAGAAGAGGTGAAGCGTCTAAATGCAAAAATTGAATTTCAACTATATAAAAAGACTAAAATTGTTGTTATTTATTTCAATTAAAATGATATTGTTGACAATATTATTTATAAAATCAATATTTACACATCAATTGTCATACACGTCCGATCATTAAATGAAACATTGTTCGTCTTACGAATAAAAAATATTTTTGAATTAAAGTACTTGTCAAATTCCATGAAAATTTGAATAGTATTTTTGAAAAGCCATCTCAAACACACCATTAATTTCCACCGTTAGGAAGGTAAGAAGAAACTTCGGGTGGCATCGTCAATGGACGGAACAGCAACTGCTCAGAAGGTGAGGAAAATGAAGCTGGATTGGCCTGATCCATTAATGGGAATGGAAAGCTTGGAGGGTCAAAATGGCAACAGTTTTCAGTCATGGCGTTGGTTTGAAGCTGAAGAGCAGAAAAAGAAGCATGGTTGGGTGAAGGAGACGACTTCTGAAGCAAAAGCATCCCAGTTTCTTCATGTTTGGCCTTCGCTGCAGCATCTGCAATATCAAAATGATGAAGAAACGAGGCATTTGGGTCAAAATCTTTCGGAAAATGGAGTGGTGGGAGCTTATCAATATCAAATCTTGTGACATCCATCAGCCAGTCTATGACTTTGCTGGGTTGGCTGAGGCCAAGTCTGTTTTGCAAATCATAAAGTTGAATAGCAGTGGGAGCTGAAAGCCTAATCCTTCTGTCTCTTAAGCCCTTCATTGTGCAAACTTTGCTGTGCCTGTCTTTTCCTCCAAACAAAGGAGAAACTCTAAAAATTCTTGGATTGCCTCTAAGAAATGGCCCTTGCCTTGAAGGCCCCTTCTTCCTTTTGCCCTCCATTTGTTTTGCTTCAACATGAACGCCCTCTTGCTTCAATTTTGAGATCATATTATTTACTCTCCCTGTCATTTCTTCAAAACAGAGCTTATAGAATAAAATGATACAAAAAATGATCTGTAAGTTCCCTTTTCTTCGAACCAGATGGCGTTCAGGAGTACGACAAACCCATATCAGATAAGAGAGAGAACACAAATTAGCAGCAAAGTGAAGGATTCGACAATTGCATACGAGGGGAGAAGGGAGAATGAGTAAAGAAGAATTGTTTGTTTAACATTGAGAACTAGGCATCATATTACTAATGAGTATTTATTTGCTTGCATTGATATGACGGCTAAAAGTCAACAAGAGAATTAAAAGCTTTATTAATTAGGGTTCGTAAAGAGGTGTAGAGAGAGCCCTTATACTGATGAAAAAATAGGGTAGGAAAATTTAGAGTCATTTGAGAGTGACTTCAGAGTATATTATAGCTTGTTTCAAAGGTAAAGGTGAATTGTGTGGTAATGGACATGCTACGTGAATAGATGAAGGACCAATTATATCGCCATAGACTTATTAAGATACCTCAATTTTGGCTTAGTTTTCAAAAATCAAATGGTTTATTGAAGGAAACTAAATTCTACAATAATAGATTTGGATTTATAAGATGAGATTTCAAAAATAAATAAAATAACCTTAAAATTATGCTATTGGTTCCTAAACACGCCTCCTCCTCCTTACCCCAAGGAAGGTATCAAAAACGGTTGTGGTTCATCCACTACCCCCTCTCCTTTCTTCTCTCTACCTTCTTCCGCAGTCCACAGGGTCTATGACATACTCGAGCAACCTATATACGTACCCTCCTATATATGCTAGTTGCCAACTACCAAAATCCATCGATATCCTCATAACATGATTCAAGGTATAAAAAGAGCACAGAAAGAATACATGCCTAATAAGAAGTTTCCCGAGTCAAAAGAAAAATTACAGCAAGAAGAGGATGTACAAGTGACCCCGGACGGCAAAAGATCATAGTCTAAACCAGAGTGGTGGAAAGAAAAATTGAAGACAAGGGAGATTTCAGTTCTTTATTCATATGTCCAGGGGATTAAAATCCCAGCCTTGTTATTGTTGCCCAGTCAAAGACAAATAACACAAAGCTCAGGATATAACAATACTGATATGCAAGAAAATGTCCTAAAATTCAGGAGCAATGGAAGTGTTTCCTGGTGCAACATTGTTGCAAATGGTTGTAGTACAAGCACATAACATTGCAAAAGAAACAAAAAAAATTGAATAGGAGTTCGAGGAGATGTACTTTATTGACGCCAAATCCCATGTCTTGTCTTGAGGTATAGGCTAGGCGTACAAACAACTATACCAAAAAAACCCACTCAGGTTAACAAAGAGAGGCAGAGTAGAGGAATACAAGCTGGAGAGAACATTTCCCAGAGCACACCGAACCTGGTAAAAATTCTGAAGTTAATAATGGTCATTTACAGGAATTTGCAATCAAAATTGACAATTATTAGACAATAAAACAACTGAGATCAGAATGCAACGGAATAGCAGCAACAAAAAACACGCAGAAAACTGGGTAACAAGAGGAAAGAATCCATAATGCAGCAAGCAGGTCATGAAAATTATAGAAACTCACCAAACCTGATGAAACAAGGACAACTTATTCATGTCAGAAAAACTAGCATACACTATCATTACAAGCAATAGCATTACTAAATAAAAGTCATTTTACTTCATAAAATTAACTCACTAGACCGCATTTATGTTCTTAATGGTATAAAAATATCAATATCAAGTTGCCCTTTTTTAGGAAACAGTCAGTAACCCTTCATTGATATGATGAAATGGGATACAAAAGAAGTTCCTATCCAATGTTAATAACTACAAAAATCTCCTCCATTGATTAAAGAGGAGATGATAAGAATATAGCTAGCGAAGTGCCATTTTATGAAACTGAAGCTTATGTCTTATGACTTCAAACTGAAGCGACCTCGGTATCAATCTGCATTTAAAGATATTTAAAAACTAAGACGAGAAAAGAAAAATCATTCTCCACCATCCAAAAGAAATGCAATTACATTGAACCAACAGATTTTACAGAGAACCTCAGCATAATGAAGACCAAGATAATGCAAATATAAAGAATCTAAAACAAAACCGATCTTGCATACCTCAGCCACTTCCTCCATGGCCCTTCACAACCACAAGCAAGCAACCAAATGATGAAAAGAAGAGCACAATTGTCTATTGAAGGTTAGGATCCAATTTTCTCCACAAGTCATCTTCAATGGGAAAATCAAATTCAAAGTTGCTTTTAAAAAAAAAAAAACTTCATACTGACCAAACCCCTTCCTCCATGTTGTATTGTAAACCAGCACTATAACAACCCCCTTTTCGAGGGACTCGAGCCACGGATTATTACTCACCGACATGGAAATAAGTAAAAATACGTAAAATTTAAAACACTAAAACAATTGCATGCACTTAAAAATTCAATTAAAATAGAAATGAAAATTTTGCTCTTAAACAAAAATATAGCAGAAAGGAGACCACTAAAATACACCCCTACAAAATCAAACTATTTAAAATACATTAAGTACAAGATTTAAAAATAAGTAAAAAAGAACCCCAGACTCTGTGATGGGACTCCCTATAGCCAACCACCCACGTGTACCTCTGCCTCAACTGCTACATCAAGCAACACTTGAAAAGGAAATTGAAGTAGCAAGGTTGAGTATAAATATACTCAATAAGCAGTTTGCTGGTAGTTCATAGTTCGTTATCGAATTTTATTAACCTTAGTTAATTCGTTTAGTGTTTTTATTCTCGTTTGGGGGTTCGTTCCCCAGTATAGGAACTTCCTAGGCTACATCCTAGGTTTACTCCTTCGATTTTCTTGGTTCTTGGTTCTTGGTCCTATCTGGACCTTCAACCCTCAGAATATTCTCAAGCTCTCAAGGTTTCCGAGTTGGTCCTTTCTGCTAGTCTCTTTCATCCTCATATCTTTAAGTCTTCAAGGCGCGACCTCGGTATCAATCTCATAAGGTTCAAGAATGCTAAGGCTCGACCAACACTAAGGTGCAATTGTGGACACCTGCCACTCGTGGCAGGTTCATCAAAAGAAAGCTAACTGGCAAACTTTCTAATAGTCCCCATAGGGCACAAATCATACATCATATGCCAGTTCTATGGTTATTCAGACCCCTGACAATCGAATCAGGTTTACGATTAGAGGGCTAGTTGGTGAACCCCTAATCATCCCCGTATAACCGCATAACTCACACGCATGAACAATAATCGTAACCAACTCGTAAAGAACAGCTGTGGACCCCCGTTGCTTGTGACAAGATCACTACAGGAAGCTAACTGGCAAACTTCACCGTAGTCCCAATAGGGTACAATCATAAGTCATAAAATATCATAGGCCAGTTCTATGGTTATCCAGACCCCTAAGAATTGAGTTAGGTTCACGATTAGAGGTTAGTTGGTGAACCCCTAATCGTCCCCGTATAACCGCATACATCACAAATAGATGGAATAGAGACATAGCACCTAGGTTTACTCATTCAATTTTCTTGGTTCTTGGTCCTATATAGAGGCAACTTTAAGGAATACATCATCTCCTATTTCAAATTTGAGTTCCTTCCTTCCGGTGTTTGCATATTTCTTCTACAATTTCAATGCAAGGGAGTATCCATGTTCGGCTCTATCAACACTGGAAAACCATGCCATTCTCCTTATCTCCTCTAAGTACCTTCATGTCCACTTGTCTATTAAATAGGTGGATTTCCTAGTATGACAATAGGTGGATTTCCTAGTATGAAGTGTGTCGACTTCGCTAGTCTGTCATTGGTTACCTAAATCACTGTGCAATGTTCCCTTGTATTTGGCAAGCTTGAAATAGAATCTATTTTCATGTCCCCCCACTTCCACTTTGGGATGCTCGAGGGCTGCGATAATTCTGAGGGTCTCTATCTTGTTGTCTTAACTTGCTGATATGTCAGACATCAATTCACAAACTCTACTAACAACTACATATGTCATACCAATACAATAATTTCGCTTCTCTATCACACCCACTGGTGAAAATGTACTCTTGTGCCATATTCCTCTCAATACTTGTCCTCATGCAACACCCTTCTCAAGTGTGATCCAAGGTTCGCCCCAAATTCCCCCCTTTTGTTGCTTCGTGAGTCAGCAAGGGCATTCCTTCACGGTTGGCTGAAATGCCTTATAGATGGCAAATCATCAGCTTATCTCTCCACACCTCTTTATTGTGTACTTATTATTAGTTCTTCCCTCAGAATTGACCGATGTGTTACTACCACTCATACCGACTATAGTGTTGGAATATCAAACTTTATGCCTCGTGATGGTTTTATAAACTCTTGATCGTATCATAAGTCTAGTTAAGGGTACCATGCTTTTTAGCTTGAGATCCTTCTCATTTATACTCACAAATTCACGTAATATTCATACACATGATCATGAGCTAAGTCCTTGGACCACAAAGAATTTCTGAACATCACACTGCCTTCCTGGCAATAAATAGCCAAACGTCTATACAGAACAGGATCAGTGCATCCACCAAGAATTTCTATAACTTCACTTGTGACTATCCAAATTAATTAAGAAAGGCTATTAGATGTTCAACCTGTCTTTTCCTCTTTTTCTTTCTCTCTCTATCTCTTTCTTTTCTTTTCTTTTTTTGAAAAGGAGTGATTATTACTGGTTTTCCGGTAGAGAACAAATATTCAAAGTTGTATCACTTCCCGTGTCCTATATTGGTAGTGCATAAACAGCCGAGACCTAGTTTATACTTAAATCCCTAAGAGCAGAAAATGGGAAAAAGAAATTGTCCAAGAGTCAGAAACCATGGCTAGGGATAAAACAGGATAGCACATTTGCTTTACGCAGCAAAAGTAGCCGGTTTCACTTATCCTAAGAACTTCAAGAAACGCATGACATACAACTATAGCAGCATTTTATTCAATATAAGTTGTATGTATCATATGACATTTCCAAAGAACAACCAAGGAATGAAAGCCAAATCCTAAAAGATCAAAATTCAAAAACAAAAGGCTATAAAGCCAAAAATCACTTCGTAGATCTTTAAGGCTCTGCTTATATTATGAACTAGAAATTGGGCTAGCCCTCAGATCCACCGTTTATTAAGGGGCAATGTATTCAGCAGCATTGACAATGATCCGAAAATAACCTATGTCATTTTAAACAAAAGGGATGACTAGTACACCAACAGCAAACGCACAACTTACGCAATTGACAGATTTCTGACTTGTGCAAAGAAGATGAGTCAGACTACCTTTACGAGGGCGGGGGGTAAGCCAAAAATAGAACAGCAATATAATGCATGAGGTATTGATAAAATCAACTTCATACCCTAAGATGCCTTTAGCGTTCGATCAATGACCAACGGGATCGTAAACCAAAAACCTAAATCCAAAGATCACCACATACGTAATCGGTTGTTGAATGGGGAAAAATGAAACATAAAAGACTTACCATACTACTTCTGATAACCACCTCCACGGGCATTTATATCCTCCTCGATCGCGGCAGTCAGATAAACTTTGGGAAAGTCAGCAGGGTCGAACTTCGTCTCCTTCATCATCTTCTCGACGTCAGGTTTCTTGAGGATGGTGCGTCGAATTGGAGGGCGATTGCGACGCTGGTCGCGGCTGTAATACTTAATATCAAAGACGGTCTCGGGATTGGAGGTAGGGACAATGGCTTTCTCCTTCGTAGATGCGGGGCAAAAGACCCTGTACTCTATGGCACTCGGGACGGCCAATTTGTACTCTGGATCTGCACACGGGCCGGTGATCTCCCAAGGCTTCTTGATGTAGCGCTTTAGGGTTTGGAAGAAGGAGGAAG